CTTTATTGACATCTATTTTGCACAGTGCTAAGAAAAAACAGTTATGCTGTTTGTTATTTTTTACTGCAAGACCAAGCCTTGAATGAATTAAGCACCTTTATAACTAAAGTTACTGTCAAAGGTGTTGTTAGAAGCAACATCAACACATCCTTCTCTTATTTATATCAAGTAGACAGTTTTATATAAAAATCAAAAGAAAATGGCTTAAAAAATTTTGTCATGACACTGCCAGATTAGATTTTATAGTACTACTTCATGCTTCCTACACTTATAGGTTGACTTGAATCTAATTTTACAGCCATTAAAGTCCACTTACAATGCAATCACTAATCTTATATTAATTCAGCATCAGATAAATATATGCTCTCCAGCTAACAATTTACGTGCAAAAATTCTTTATGAGTGCTCTTGCTATGCTTTTTCAGACACACTGGTAAGTTAATAATGTGGAAGTCTATTTGTTTTAATATTCTGTTGATCAGGCCATGAAGAGCTCAGTGGCAGTATTTCAATCTGTAGCAAACGGTTCATAAAATTTTCTCATTTTTTCAAGGAAACATACAGTCAGTGAGGATGTGGGTCCTCTCCAGAAAGAAACTGGAAACCTGGTGATGAGGGATACGGAGAAGGCTGAGATGTTCAATAACTTCTTTGCCGCAGTCTTCACCAGCAAGGGCTCTAGGCACATCTTGCAAAAAGCAATGGTAAAAACTTGGAAAACTTGGAGATGGTAGATCTCCCTGCTGTATGTGAAGATGAGGTTTGAGACCATCTAAAAAACCTGAAGGTACACAAGACCATAAGACCCGACAAGATCCATCCATGGGTTCTGAGGGAATTGGCAGATGAAGTTGCCAAGCTGCTATCCATCATATTTGAAAGGTTATGGCAGTTTGGTGATTGGAGAAAGGGGAAATACAATCCCCATTTTCAAGAAGGGACAAAAAGAAGACTCAGGGAACTACAGGCCAACCAGTCTCACCTCTATGCCTGGCAAGATCATGGAGCAGATCTTCCTGAATGCTCTACTGAAGCACACAGTAAATGAAGATGAAATGATTGGTGGTAAATCAACATAGCTTCACCAAGGGCAAGACATGCCTGAGAAACCTGGTGGCCTTTTATGATGGAGTTACACCACCAGTGGATAAATGAAGAGAAACTAACGTCATCTACCTGCACTTGTGCAAAGCATTTGACACTGTCCTGCATTATTTGATGGATGGACCACTCACTGGATAATGAATTGGCTGGATGGTCACACTAAGAGAGTTGTGGTCAATGGCTTAGTGTCCAAATGGGGTCCAGTGCCAAGTGGCATTCCTCAGGGATCAGTGTTAGGACAGGTGTTATTTAACATCTTTGTAGGTGGCATGGACAGTGAGCTCAAGAGCAACCTCAGCAAGACTGCAGACGATACCAAGCTGAGTGGTGCAATTAACACACTAGAGGGAAGAGATGCGCTATCCAGAGAGAACTGAACTGGCTTGAGTGGTGAGCCCATGTCGTGAAGTTCAAGAAGGCCAAGTACAAGGTTCTGCATCTGGATCAGGGCTATCTCAAGCACAGATACAGGTTGGGCAGAGAGTGGCTTGAGAGCAGCCCTGAGGAGAAGGACTTGGAAGCATCAATTGGTGCAAGATTCAGCATGAGCCAACAATATGCACTTGCTGCCCAGTTGTATTCTAGGTTCAAGAGAAGTGTGACTAGCAGGTCAGGGGAGGTGATTCTGCCCCTCTGCTCTGCTCTCATGAGACCCCACCTGGTGCACTGCATCCAATTCGGTAGTCCCCAACACAAGGACATGCAGTTACTGGAGCAGATACAGAGGAGGGCCGCAAAGATGATCAGCAGACTGGAGCATCTCCCCTATGAGGACAGGCTGAGAGAGCTGAGGCTCTTCAGCCTAGAGAAGAGAAGGCTACAGTGGGGACCTTATGCCTACCAGTACCTGAAGGGGGCCGATAGGAAAGCCATTTTATAATGGCATGTAGTGACAGGACAAGGACAAATGGTTTTAAACTGGAAAAGGGTAGATTTAGACTATATATTAGGAAGAAATTAATTACTGTGAGGGCAGTGAGACACTGGCACAGGTTGCCCAGAGAGATTGCAGATGCCCCTACCGTAGAGGCATTCAAGGCCAGGCTGGATGGGACTTTGAGCAGCCTAGTTTAGACGGTGGTGTCCCTGTTGACAGCAGAGGAGTTGGAACTAGATAATCTTAAAGGTCCCTTCCAACCCAAATCATTCTATGATTCTATGGAAATCATCTTTTTAATAATGGAAAACATTGCAGGTACTGAAAATATTTTGCTTAGCATTTTAAAGGTAGATTGACAGAGATACAAAACCAGCACTTTCCAAAGGCACTTATTCCATTCATGACTCTCTTGATACATACCAGTGGTTGCACAGATGAACAGCCCATATATTACTGCTGCTCCAGAAGTGAGTTGTGTATATGTATTAGATACAGTAAAAGCATCTAGTATTCAGAGAGAAGAGGGCCTTCTTAATGGAGTAAAAGGAATACATTTTCCCTCTCCCTTCTCTTAAACTTACCTTCTATTTTCAACAGCCACTTGTGCAATAGTGCTGTTGTTTATGTTCAAGTTATTTGATTTAAACAATAATTACTGAGAAATAAGCAACATATACAGAGAGTAATTAATATTATAATGAAATAATAATGCTAAAATGAGCTTTTATTAAGTTAATTGTTTAATGCATCTGGTCCTCTTTTATCCATTGCCCTTTTTGTTATATGCTTCTGGATTAATAAATAGTCCTTATTTTGCATTTCCAAAAAAGTTTGTTGGTCACAATTGCCTTTTAAAGGAGGCTTTCCCCTTTATCCTAATAACAATAGATAATGGCGATCATGTTCTGGAATAACTGATTATATTCTGATTTAAAGACCAACTTTTTTGAATTTAAAATTGAGAAAATGATCTTCACTCTAAACAGTAGCACGAGATACTACATGACAACTCCTAGTGAGTACTGGAAGTGTAAGTATTGTTTGTTTTTTTGAGAACACAGACTCCAAACACCTATTTTTAATCATGCTGTTTCCCAGCTTACTTTCCTTCAACAGCAGTTTTGTAGCTATTTCTGAGTAAAACTGTAACATACAGAAAATATATTATTCACCCTCATTAATGTGTTTAAGCATGGATTTTTTTTTGTAGCTGACCTTAATACTTCTCTCCCAAAAGGCCATTGTCTAAAAGAGAACACTCTGAGATGGAGCCTAAAAGTTTTAATTGATGTGACACAGGCTAACTTCCCTGGATCTTCTCATTAGAAATGATTGTACTGTCAAGCGGTACTTCAGAGAAGTAAAACCAAAACAAACATAAACCCCTTGAAACAAATAAGCAACCAAAAATAACAACAGCTAATATGTGCTACCAAGAGACCACTCTACAAGTAGTCTAGCCTCATTCGGTTAGGCTCACCTCACTCTAAAATATCTACAGTTGTCATAAAACAATCTAATGCTGTTTTTCTGAAAAAGACAAATGGTGAATAATTTTAATGCATTCATTTGAAGTTTGATATCTGAGTGTCTTTCACTGGCACAAAAAAGCACTGAGTTCACACAAAATGGAAAACCAGAGGAAATAGTGCTGCCAACTTTCAAAAACATTTACTTCTTTAGGATAAAAAAGTACAAATGTATTAGCAATGTAAATGCATTCACATCTAAAAAGCTAGAATTCTTGAAAAGAAAAATGTCAAAGCTGGTGATGCACAAAAATATATTTTCTACTTTGTGTTGCGGGTTAAATAGTAGAGTCAAATATAGAACCCTGAAGCTCCATTTTATAGTATGTAAATTTTATTTAACAGAAATTTAAGTTAATCAGCCTCATAGTCTGAAGATTCTGAGTAACTAGGTGATCTCTAAGGTCCCTCCCAAATCAAGCCACTCTGTGATTCAAATTTTTCCTTTAATAGTGTAAAATTGGAGACAGGAGAAAGTTTGAAGAAGGATTTCACAGTGTCATGAATTCCCATCAGATCAATAGAACACTGCCACTCATATACACACAGTTTCTGTTTACAAAATAAGGTGAAGAACGCTCTCTACTGATAACTGCAATTTGGAGTAAGGGAGTAGTTTTTTATAATAACAAAAAGACAGAAAACAGAAGACCATTCATTTCACAAGTCCACATTAGTTAACTAGTCAGATTTATCTATGAGTCTACCTTCTCCCCATTCTCTCAATCTAAAAAAAAAAATTCAAAAGCATATATTTATATATGAAAATACTAAATAAACAGAGTTTACAGGTTATATCTGCTCTAGATTTAAATGATATAACAGAGTTTGTATAAGTTACATACAAAAAAAATATCTTTTTGATCAGGGAAACTAAAAAAAAATTGTATTTTCTATGTATTTACATGTTGTGTTCCTCCTCAAAAACAGCTCTGCACCTCCTATTCCATCTTCTCCATGACCAACTATCTTTCAACAATTCCAATTATTTATTTCCTTCTAATTTTCTTTCCCAACAGAAAATGCACAAAGTATTCCCAGCTTCCTCCAGCACCCCTGAAACAATATCTTGGCAAAAGACACTAATTGCCCTAATGTTTCCAGGAGCTGCAAGCCCTGACTGGCCAGGCCAGCAGGCTATTAAGAACAGATCTAGTGAGTGCATACTGCCCAACTTTCCCATAAATGGATAATAATTTTGTTAATTTCTGTAAAATTTCAATGCTTCATAAAGATTTCAGGAACACTGTATTCTCAAACCCTTTCTCTGATTTCTTAAACAATGAAATTGGCCACTGGTTTCAAACCATTGGAGGAGGAATGACTAGTTAATGAACAGAGTGTTACTTCAGATGTGTTTGGATACATACATGGATACATGAATGTTAATAGCATATCAGCAATGGCAGTAATATTGGCTATTGCAATACACAATCTTTAGGCCTATGGATAGAAAAACAGTTGTCACATTATTGCAAAAAGTTTACCTTGTATGTTAACCTGCTCTTGGTATAATTGGGCACCCACAGTAGTTGTTGAGTAACTTGTCTCACTTGGCAATCTATTACAATATGATCCTGTGCCAGAGGTTTCTTCCCAATTCCCTTAAGGTTAAAGATGCTTTCAATGCCACCTGTAGTATTTTGAAGAATAAGCCTTCCCTATGATGAAGAAAGAATAAAAGTTTCAGCACTATAAAAGTCTCATTTGGAAGTCAAATCAACTGCTTCAGTCTATTATTATCAAATCCAGGCAACAAAAGTAAACGTACAGGAAAGATTTCAGACAAGTTTCCTATCTCTTATGTAAACTATTCTGTTAAACAGAAGAAAATTAAGGAAACAATGTTTTTCTTCTTAATTTCTCTAAATCATTAACTTTAACAAAATAAAGCCTTCACAATCCCAGATTTTATACTTCTTGGCCCCTTCCTGGAAAGCAAATGTAACACAAGAAAATACATTCTCATCCATTCCCAATCAATCACCTAATCTGTCCTTCAGCTAAAATGTTCTTCACGATTATTAGTTATCAAAGGACTCAGAGTTTTTGGCTTTTAATACTTTCATAATACTGGATTACCAAAATGCATTTTGTAGGCAATTTATGCAGATGGATTACTAATCTTTCATGGAATAATTTGTTTTTGTCTCTGGCAATACACAAATTTAAATTGCATCCTGCAGACAAAGTCTCAGCTATTGTATATGTAAAAAATATGTGTACTGCTTCTTTTTAAAGGTATAGTCTCCCCTCTTCAGTTTTAGCATTCAGAATAGTAATTACTACGATGGCAAAAGCCACTTCTAAGAAGTAGCTTAACTTGTAATAAATTATTTTATGATACAGCTGGGCACTGTCAACAAATATATACATGAAATACAAATTTCATGTATGTTGTAGTGAAAAATGCTCAATACTACTACTTTATTCTTATGAAATAAAATTTAAAATGTGTATTTAAATTCAGATTAACACAATATACATTTTTCTGGTCAGAACTCAGAATCTCTGTGGAATAACTAGTCAATTCATTGAAACTGAGGGTTGATAGAAGAGTAAATAAAGGAAAAGACAGTAAGGAGTGAAAGGGAAATCTATCAACCTTTAAGTTTGGTAAAGTTGGATCCTTTTGTTTTTTTTTCCTTCAGCTAATAGCAAACTTTTAATTTCTGACTAATTCACAAAATCTCTCAAGCAAAAGCTTAATGCTAGCAGTTGATTAAGCACTTTCATAAGCTGAAGTCTGGCATAAATGTTATTTAAAAAAGCTTTCTTTTCAAATGCTTTCAAACTAATTTCCTTCTTACCGTTGTTAAGCACTCAGCAATTGGCTTGAACATGAGAGGATACAGAGCTATTTCACCTAGACCCACACTTATTGAAGGAGGGCCTGAAAAGCCCTGTCCTTCCAAAACTGCTTCAAGTTTCCAGTCCTGGCTAGACATGTTTCTCTGAAATAAAAGTAAAGACATAAATTAGATCATGCTTTTAAAGTTCTTAATATGCATTTCAGCTTTTACTCTCAGTGATAATCAAATCAGAGCATGATTCTCTTTCTTTCCCAAACTACTGGAACAGAGCACCTTCTAAATCCCTTATTCCAGGAAAACTAGCAATACTATCAGCATCAATACTGTCAACAAGACTCGTTAGATAAAAATTCATTATATAGCCAAAGGTCAAGATGGAATTTAGAAGTAACATTAAAACATTTACATGCATCTTTAAGGTTCTGCTTAATGCCTGACAAAATCGTATTTCTTTTGCATCTGTGGATAACACTAGCAAATCTCTTAAAAGTGTTGATGCGGTGTACTAACACATATTGCCTCATTTTGCCACTTAATGCACTACAGGACCAGCCTCACTTTCTAATTAGAGACTGTCTCCCAAAGCAGTATTTACAGTCCTGTTTTCTCAGGAACTGGTTTTTCAAGAGACTGATCTATTTTAAAGAATGGTTATGCTAGGTACCATGAAACGCTGTTTTAGAAACATGCTTTGTCTTGCATATAGACATATCACAGGACTGCTTGATTATGGCAGGAAGTGAGATATTTTGTAATAAATATTTGTGGACTTCGTATTTCAATAATCCTATTCAGGCAACCGAGAGTCCGGTCTGCAAAAAAATAAATATCAATCTGAAAAGAGAAAATAAACTGAATTCAAGAGCTAATATCAGCCTTGTCAAAACAGAGAAGATTGGTCTATTCAATGAAAAAAATGAAGTAATCCTTTGGCACAGAATGAAGATAAATGCCAGAGGTAAGATTCGGATTTTGGAGAATAGAGACGATACCCATTCCAATTCTGGCTTTCATCTTTGAAAGTCTCTTAAACTCAGGTATCTCAGCCTTAGAAATAAAAAATACCACCAACTATGGTCATCAGAGCTAATTTACTAGCATGGCATGAGATCTGCAATATCATGTATCTAGGCTTGGATTAATATGCAAGAATAAAGTTACTTAGTTGTTAACAAGTAAATTTCATAGTAGTTGAGCACAAATGCCTGTTTGGAAATTTGAGATTCATACAGTGCCTTGTTTTTTTCAAAACACTATTACTGTGATCCCCAATTCTGTAATAATAATAATTGCAACATCTTTGGTAAAAAGCATGAAAGTAAAAAAGTAATTTATCTCAGTATCCTCATGGTGAAGATAAAATGAAGGTGAGAAAAAGATGACAGATCATTCCTCTTCTCATGCATTATTTTACCCACATCAGGAACAACTTTATCCTTCCGAAAACGAGCCTGAATAGTTCTAAAACTAGCAGGTCATCAGTCTTTGAACACTGCTTGAACTGTGGCAGTTTGAAGACATCACCATTGCCCTGGGGAGAGTGTTACAAGGCCTGACCATCCTCTGCTGAAGAAAATTGTCCTAACACCCAACCTGACCCTCCCTTGATGCATCTTCAAAGTTTCCCTTGGTATCTTTACTCTAAGAACTGTCAGAAACTGCCAAATTTTCCCAATAAGCTCTATATTATGTTCAATATGGACTTCAATTAATTATACTCCAAGTCAGTATTTAAATGCTTTTGTGAATTTTGCAATACGAAGTTTTAACTGTATTGATCAAGAGTTCATTTTTTAAACTCCTGAATCTTAATTTAGTTTGTCACAGTAAAGTGAACTTACTATTGGAATATTCTGAATCACTGCCTGGTAAGCTGGAGTTAGAAATTCAATCTCTGCTTCAACATCATCTGTATTCACTACACATTTAATCACATAGACACGAATATCCCATGAGGACTTCAGGAGAATCTGACAGTGGTAGCAACCAGGACCCGGAGGAATGAATTTTATAGGAAGCTCAACTGCATCAGTTCTGCCTAAAAACAAACAAACAAAACAATACAGTGCAGTGTTGCAAAACACAGAATTTACACACAGGATTTGGGAAGAGTTACAGCAAATGGTAGAAGCTTCCTCCTAGCAGTACATAAAATAATTTGAAATGAACAATGGAATCTTAGAAACATTATCACCATTATCAGAACTTTAATTTTCCTAAAATAAAGGTATATTTAAACATTCAAATACTATTTTCTATTTTCTTTAGCTACGCACAGACATAATTTTTTTTAAAAAAGATTTATTAAACCTAACAGATTCAGTAGAAAAGTTTATTGTATAAGAACTTCTGTAGATATCAAAAAAGTACACTAGATACTACTGAATACTTTAGTCAACAATTAGCAGGAGAGATATTGCAGAGAAGAGACCCTACTTGGTAGCCTCAACAGTAATGGGAATCCTGCTAAGTTCAGTAGTTCTTATGAGAGCTTCCTATTAGACATTTCCTCAATTTTGAATTGAAAGTCTGGGTTTCCAAAAAATGACAGAAGTGTTCAAGTTAGTACAAAATCATGAAAATTCCAGCTATTTCAATTGTATGTAAGAAAAACTCACCATAGTAATGTCTAGAGTAAGGAAAAAGCCATGTAAACTCTGTCCTCATTAGAACATATTCAGGTCTAAATTTGTAATCTACTCAGACTTTTTCTTCTACTCCTGCTACATCACATCATCTCACCCCCCCTCACTAGGCCTTGTAGAAAACTTCACAAAGCTGAAGGAAAGGCATGTGACAAACATCATTGACTGGCCACAAAAATAAGATCTCCCATTCAACCTTCCCTAAGAGATTCTAGGCACATCAAAAAAATTAAAACTGTAGTTGTGACAACTTCACTGTTTTATATTTAACAAAGATCATTTATTTTCCAGATAAAAAAACTAATGCCAAAAGCCCTTGTTGGAAAGGATAATGAGGAAGGTCTGAGACAATATAATGACACAACAGTACCTCACAGATAAAACTCCAAAAACAATTCATTTCCCCCTGAGGGAGAACACCTGATAAATTCTTGTGGTTTCCCTTAGTCCTTTATTATGGCTTATTTTCTGATGTTATGTAAGATAGCTGTACATGATCTTCAGTAACAAGCACTGAATTTTGAAAGTGCAATCAATCCTCACCTGCAGTGCTGCCCATTCTCTTTCATGAAGTGGTCTTCCTCATATATTCAATTCTCCCTCCCTGCCGTGAACAGCAAACTGAAGCTTTACTCTTGCCTTGTGTCTTCTGTACTTCAGTTTTTTTACACAAGAATAGCCCAAGTTCAAGAGACGAATCATACTGAATGATGTTATTAATCTTTTCACATTACTTGGCTATCAAAAAGATTATAAATTGCACCACAGGTTTAACCCTCTATGAAATAAATTAGTTCGTTCGCTTTTAAAGACAAGATTAATGGCCTGGTAATTTTTGAATTATTACTTTTAATTCTATCTTGTCACCAAACTATTATCCCCACTGGCTATCTCCCAGTGAAGTTGACCTGAGTTTACCAGTTATGCAAAGGATAAAAGTGTGCATTCTTCAGTTCATGAAAAATTTTCTTCTTCTACAATAATTATTTTAGGACACTGAAACAAAACGCATACTTCAAATTTTAAATGCCCATTTAAAATACTCACATTCCAAGAGAAAATAGAATTAAAACATATTTAAAGAAAGGTAACACAGTGCATTGGAAGCTCCAAAATACTTCTTTGTGAATTCCTTTGTGCACTAAATGGAAATTTGTATTACTAATGATCAGGGGTCTCTTTAACTCTATGGAACTGATTTTTGTCCTTCATTGAAGTTTCAATCAGCAATGTCTCCTGCAGAAAAATTAAAAAGCAATCATTCTGTTCCACATTAATAATATTTAATTTGTCATTTCTTTTATCAAAATATTTCTTTCTTGTGCATAAAAAATAACACTGAATAATAAGTTACTTGATTCTTTGAAATGACCGATGAAATGGAAAGGCATTTTATCATTTTTATTTAACAAAGGAAATATTTTTTAAGACATGGTTTCCGTAGTGAGACAATCTCTGCATCAAAATGATTACAGAAACCACATGTCTGTGATTTATAAATGAAGGTGGTTTTTTCCTGGGGAAAAAAAAAATCCCGCAAATTTTAAATGTCATCAGATAAACTGGACCTAAAAATGTCTTAAGATGCTTTTTTCTTACTCAGTCCTGTAAAATACGCTGCTAAAATTAATTAGAAACTATGTAATTTTGCAGGGTCACAATTGGATTAATAAATTCTGAGACTAATGTAGAAACAATAAGCAAAGGCCAACAGCACTTGCCCTATTTCCATGAAACAGGAAGCAGGGCTTGTATCCATGGAATTGAATTGAAGCAACCACTCCTCTAACAGTGAAAGGGAAGCATTTCACTGACAGTGAAAAATCAAGCCAACAATACGAGTCTATGGTACATTTTCTCTCCCAAAAGTATGTATTTATTATTTTATGGGAACATATTTCATATGAAATAGGCAAACAGCTCTTGAACCATGAGCTTTGGATTCTCCTACTTTTGTGAGTGTCCTACTTAATTTGCTGCAGTCATGGTGCCTCTATTTTTAGTCTAGGCTCCAATCTTAGGTTCTCTTTGTTCATCTGCTGAAGCAGAGCACTCTTCCCATAGCTGTCTTTCATGTGATAATGAGGAAATGTAGAGAAAGAACCGCAGCTTGAACATTCTTGTGCTGAGAAGGGCAGGGAAGATTCACCATCTAAATATTGGTCAAATGAGCGACATGCAATGGACTTTTTAAAAAATAAAACACTTCATGAAAAGTTTATTTTTATAGACTTTTGCTAGACAAATGCCTATGGGAAACATTTACCTGATTCTGAATCTGAATTGAATTTTGATGTGAAACAGCCGTCAAAACAACACTTATGAAAGTAGAACATTTGGTGTGTATCACAACCACACATTCTTGAACAGCTAATTTACAGCACATAGGTGATGGTCTTGTTCTCTGGCAACTGTCTGGCATCTTGTACCATTTACTTGATACAAAAGACAATCTGATCACCGTCTGGAATCAGTGACACCCGTGTCTTCTAGTTACCGCTCATTTTAGGTCTGCCTGGCCTGAATTCAAAGTTAATCTTCTGTGTCAGCCAAAGAACAGTACCTTTCAAAGAAAAATGTCACTTCTTGTGGACATCAAGGAAAAGCACATGCTACAGTTTAGTAATAAAAGTGTTTTTTGGATTTATTCCTATTCAATCCAATTACAGACTGTGGGAGGAGGGAAATAAGGAGAAGAGAAATACTATTCTTTCATACCACAATCAGTTGGAATAATTTCTGAAGGTAGGAATCTGCATGCCTTCAGCAGTTAGTCAACCAGCTGTACACTTTATTAGCTTTCATTCAGCAATATCTGTTCTAAAACTAAAAGCTCAATTTCACAATGAACTTAACTCAGCCTCTGACACTGTGCATGTCACAAGGAATTGACTACATAAACCTGAAAACTGAATTTGCAAGTATTGACTCTTGTAAGGTTGAATAACCAATATAGAACATTGAGGAGGCTACACTCTTGACTTCTGTTTATCTATCAGGTCATCTGACTTAGAACATTAGTCTAACCAGTAGTCTTGAAAAAGCAATCACTCTTTTATATATTTTAATGACCGCTGCCATGCTCTGAAATTTTTGCTATCATCGTGTATGCTCATTTGCTAACATTTTCTCGGCTTTATCTAAACACATGGGAAGAAGAACACTGAAGAAGCCCACTAACTGATTATTGATTCTTTTCCCACATAAATGCAGTATAACCTTACAAATCTAATCAAAAATTAAAATACATTTGATCAATCAGAAAATCAAGATAATGCTAGAAAGAGAAAACAGGTTTTTTTTTTCTTAATTGATTTAAACATTAGAAATCTCATTACCGTTTGCAAAATCTTATCACAAATACTCAGCAGTCATGCTCACGTATTGAATTCAGAAATTGATGAGTGACACCACAGTGAGGTAAAACAAAGTTTCTTTTGTGTTGGGTTTTGGGTTTTTTTTGTTCATTAGCTTTTTAATAAACTATTTATAGTAGTTTATAATAAAATAATTGCCCCTCAGTATTTGTCAAGAATAGTTGTGAAAGGTATAGAAAAAAGGAGGCTGCACAGTAAACTATGCCAATGGGCAACTGGAATCTATCCAAATAAAAAGTTTCTTTCATATAACTTTAGAAAGATAGCAAAACTAATGTGCTTTCTTAAATCATCTAATGGTCTCCTCTGAGGTCTAGTGGTGATGAGAAATGGGCATAGAACATGAGATTTATTACTGGCTTTAGAGTACCAGTACTTTCTATGTCTCACAAAAGTAACAGTGACTGCAAAGACGAAGATAAGCCCTGACACTGACAATCACGTAAGAATTTGTTAGAGCTCAGTGGTAAAAATCTTAGCCATATATCAGCATCCCCAGCCCTAAAGGATTCATCTGTCAAGTGAGGGTGAAGCCTTCCCTTTCTACCCACAAATTCTTCTCCTAGGCAGATTCTGGGTTTCACTGAATCTTTTGGAGGACAATACTAAATTCTGAAGATGGAACAAGGTGGAAGACACTCTGATATATTTTGTGAGGACTAATAACTTTCTTCACCACAGCATTAAGCTTATTCACACAACAGCACAGGAAAAAGGATTTCCATATGTTTTTCACAGTACAACAAAAAAGCTAGCAAATACAAGTGTTCTCCATTGAATTCACTACTGCAGGTATTAAACAAAAAAGAATTTCATGCAGTCTAATATTTCATATCTCTCTTATGCAAGCGCAAAACAATTTTCTACAAATATAATATATAAAATAATATAATAAACAAATATAATATATAATATAATACATATATTTTTTCAATAATACAGCTGCCATGAAAATTATAAAGACCTTATTTCACCATTTTTCAAAACCACAATTTGAAACAGAACAATATTTTAAATCAATTCTTTGCATAGAGGGAGAGTACAAAAGAAATGTTACCTTTTACACTTTTAATCCCATTTGTGGCTCACTATCCTGGATGATTAAGACCACCAAATGTAATTAAATTTTTATTACTATGCTCCCAGTTAAATCATAGAACTGAGCTCTGAAGGTCTTAATGTGTGAGAGTCAGAGTGAAGGCTCAGAATATAAACAGTATAATGAAGATATAATACAATCTATGTTTTGGACAGTAACTAGGTAATTATGCTTAAAAAAATTAAGACTTTATGCTTTCAAAAAAAACCAACCTACTAAGATATTGAAAAATTTAATAGCATGAGGACCACTGAACACTAGAATGAGACAACAGAATTACTGACAACACTTCATAAAAGAATAGATTTAAAGCCTTAGGAATTTGCTTTAGGTAAAGAAAAAGAAGTTTCTTCTGATTAAAACCAATGCTGAGAAAGTATACGAGACATTTAAAAGTCATAGAAAGCAGGAGGTAAGGTTGACCACAAGTCATGAAAAAGTGCAAATTTTAAAATAACTTATTTCTCAAGAATATGGAGTGTTTAGGAAATATTACTAACATATGAAAAAATCCATATTATAGATGATTCAGTCTAGATATTTTTTTACTTACTATCTGATATGACTGCATAAAACATCAAAAAAAAAAAAAAAGGAAATTCTTGAACAATATATTTCCTGCTAAACAGTCAGAATTAAGTATGTCAAATAATGCTTTAAAACTTAATTTTTAGTTGTTAGTTGTTCTGCACTTATTGACGAATATAGTAATGAGCATATAATATTTCTAATTACAGTCACAGAATCATAGAATAGCAGGGGTAGGAAGGGACTCAAGATATCATCAAGTCCAACCCCCATTCCAACATAAACATCAGGTACGAAACATGCAAACATCTACTCCTAACACAACTGCATCTTGCTATTTCCACATTTAGATCTTGCCTGTTCTCTTTTGAATAGACAACTATAAGGGTTCATGGCAAAAAAATAGGCAATGAGTCATTTAAACAACTTGGTTACATAAAAATTTGTTCTATAACAAAAGAACCATGCATGGTATGACAGCAACTTCATTGAACTTGCTGGTTATGCTGCGGAAAAAATTGTCACAATTCTTTCTTAATCTTCTCTGATTTTTATTAAAGTAGAAGCTTTCTTGGGAAAGAAAGGGAAACGGAGTAGAAAAGACGTGTGAGGTTACCCTATTTTTATAACTACCTAATAATGAATGAAACTTTTACTGTACAGTTTACTTTAGAAAGACTTATGGCCCTTTCATTTTGTACTGCTGTCTCTATGTTCTTAGCATCAGCCATAGCACTATTTCTCACATAACTTCAAGGTCACATCTTCCTTTTATCACCAGCAAAAAGGGAATGACTCCCTGATTAATAAGAGATTGTGGCAAGGGATGGGAAAACGGAAAATAGATAGAGCCATTTGTTTCTTGCATTCGTTTTGTTCTGGAAACACATAAATAGAGACAAGGAAAGATAGTCAGATCATTTCTGCACATGCTACATCCAAGAAAACTGGCAAATTGTCTGTTTGGTGAAGCATGGAGGTGTTTTGGGATGCTACTTCTCTGTCGGTTAAAATCTGGAGCCATTATTTGAACTCCAAATGACCTTTTAGCCTTTTCATTTCATTCTCTAGTAACATCCACAGCTAAGAACAAAAACCAATTTTTTTCAAGATTATATATGCCTTACATGAGTTTCTACATACTCAAATTCATTATCCTTTGACATAAGCATCATAATTTTTTTATTGTCAATTGCTTTTAACCTGAGCTGTATAAAAGGACTAAATTCTTTTCTAGGCTACTGTTTATGATCTGAAGTTACTAAAGCCTTTTAGGATCATATTCAAAGAGAATGGTAAATAATCACTGTGGCACATGGTCTTCTTACAAACCAAAATTTTTACTTTGCAAAGAATTACAAGTTACATTCTGTGCATCTTGAAGAGGACTTTTGGAAGGATGAGTTCTCAAGCTGGAATTCAAGAACAGCAAAGGTTTCCTAACAACCTCTGTATGAAATGCAGCTGGGCTGAGCATTAGACTGTGTCCTCAGGCAATGTGCTGATGTTATTTTCACTAGATGACCTCCTTCCACATACAGTAAACACAGACTATTTGTCTCATGTAATACTGACATACAACAGGGGCTATGCTTTAACTGCTTTGGAAGCGCACAGAATTCAAAGCAATTGCTCCTGTCCTAAGCATTCTTTTCTAGCCCTGGAATATTCTTACGGTTTATCTTTTACAATTCTTTCCAAATTTCTGTTAACTTCTGATAGACACAGGAAGCTCCACTTCTGAACTAATTCTTCTGTCAATATTGTTTATTGAGGCAAGACCATCTCCCCACGTCTCACTGCAAACACTTCTAATTTATCTTCACTGCAGACACTTCTAATTTATCTTTAGATCACATTCATCCTTTTAGTATTAGGAAAGGACTTAAAATGAATTAATAAATTGTGTTTCTCTGTCAAGCCATTTCAATAGCAAATGCATTCTAAAACCAGTCTCTAATTTGATTTAGTATGCACTGTTGCCAGTGCACAGACACTGAAGTCTAAGTGGAACAATTTCTGACCTGACAGAAATTCTTTAATTTTCCTCCAGGAAGCAAACAAACAAACAAAAAATACGCCTGGCATACAATGAGTAGGAAAACAAACATAGCCATGAAAGTACATGTACAGATCCAGAGGTCAGTGAGAACTACAGGAACTTTCAGAAAGAGTCTACTGATCAAGACTTAGGAAAAGTAATCAGAGGAATCTATGGATTTTTCACATTAGTGGCTGACCATATTTCAAGCTTTTAATAAATGTACCACAGCTTTTAATAAATAACCACTTAATTTCAACCAGCAAAACCAAAAAATTATTTTTCTATGCTGTTATCAGATAGCTGTGGTATAATACATTAACTGTGACACAAACATGCATAGATCAGGTATATAAAAACAGAACATACTGTTCTAGTTCTTGTATGAAATGCAACTTTTAAGGCTTACATAAATCATTTAAAAAACTAGGAAAAAAAAAGAGATCAAAACAGTAGCCAACCAAAAACATTCAAGATTTCAGTATAAAACACAGAATACAAGAATAGTCAAAAGTGTATGAAAAATAACCAAAGCTGACAAGACCACTGTGAAGACTGACCCATAACCTTTCATTAATAAAGAACAGGGAGCGAAGAGCATACAATTAAGTGACACTTCCCTTAGGCTGACTGAGGAGGGACATAAGAAAAACAGGCGGTAAAACTGGTAAAATTTAAGCACAGATGAATCCTCCATCAGAAGACAGAGAAATAAGCACAAATTCAGAATCTGACAGACAAACAGTCCAATTATTTCCTCTTTTAGAACAAGTCAGCTGTGGTTATGTGCCAATGACAAAATCAATGGTATGTGGAAATTGTTTTGAGCTGATAAGATAGAACTTAGATATTAATGAAAAAGACACGACTGAGGACTTGAGCAGTAGTAGAATAGAGACAATGACCATTTTCTGAATATGTTAAGGGAATCCTAGCAAACTAACTTTTCTTTGAGAATAAGTCAAATCCATCCTATTTAAGAATATTCTTACCTATTTTCTCAGGCAAAACCACTTTTTCTGAAGGATCTTTCAAATTAACTCTGCTAGATGCCAACACGGGAATAGAGAGCTTCTCAGGAACCACAAAGAATTCTTGCATGCTCACTTGTATACTATAATCCATGTACTTCAACTCTGGAGGGAATTCACGTGGTTTTAAGAGTTCATACCTCTGGAAGTAAAGAAATAACATATACATACGAAAATCATAATAATTGTAGGTTAAGAAATGTGAAATGAGACAGTCTTAAAAATGTAGTTCTGTAATTGAATTGGTAACTAGGCCCGTTACATAGAAATGGTTGAGAGGCGCTTCTAAATAAAAACTGTCTTATTAATATTTTTTTAGACATCATGTATCTGAAACATTAATTTTAAAACTAATATACATTGAGATTTACAGTTAAACCACCTCCTGCTCAGAAACCTTTCTGCAAGCCTTGGAAGCTTTTCAAGGAAGACCAAAAAGAAAAAAAATATTAAACTAACAATTTACTTTGTATTGGATGTGGATGTGCTTCTTCATTTACTTCATAATGTTTCTAAATAATGAAAAACATGAAAAAACATATTTTGTGAGCAATAACTATATAGTTATTAATACATAGTTATATAACGATATAGTTATTAATACTTAAATGTTGACAGTATGTTTGAGGAATCAAAGATTTAAAACTAACTTCATGGACAAATAATCTCCTCCTGTTGGCACTGCTAATCAACAGCATGAAACATCTTAGTAAAATTTAGCACAATACAAAAAAACAAGTTCCAAATAGGCATTTAAATCTCATAGCAAAAATTAAGTTAGACACAGTTAGCATTACAGAAATAATGCCATTATTTAATACACAGCTTGGCCACTACTGCAATTTTGAATCTGTTATCTGGAACACGTTATATTTGCAATGATCAAGATTAATTGTAAGTTCAACAAAGTTAGTAATTCTAGTAACTCTAATAATCAAAGACAACCAAAATAGATTTCCTTTTTTTCCAATAAGGAAAAGAAGGTGACTTAAGTAAGCATAACTAAAACTTACAGTTTAATAAAAAAGGAAAACATGCAATTATTTACAGCAATTTTACAGGTACAAGTGGACCAACAACTAGTAGAAATGTAAGAGCAATTTTCATTCTCTCCATCCATTACATAAAAAATTTATACTTGTAGGAAGTGGGTATAAAAGTGTAAAGGAAATGAAAAAGAGTGCTAGATATTCAACAGAAATTCCAGATTTCTCTCCAACCTGTCATATATCTCCCAAAGGATTTAATGAGCCTAAACAATTCATCAAACCACAGGGCCTTTGGAGAGGGTATTTTTTATTCAGGCATTGGTTGGGGAGGGCCTATTTAGACAACAAACATGGAAGCATAGTTCAGCTCCAAATTAAGTTGCAGAACACAAGTTCCCTTCAAATACAAAAAGTTCCTTCAGCAAATTTCACCAGAACTTCTATACTGTCACTTTCATACAGACAGTAAGTAATAATTCATGATAAAAAGAATAAATAGGAACACTTACCAGAAATTTATCTGCATAGTGAATTACTTATACTGAAAAATAATTTTGAATGAAGTCTTTTCTACAGCAGTGTATAGCAGAAGTACTTCATTTAATTTCTTATGAACAATTAAAATACTTGTGTACATGGAGAACATACCTGTTTTTGCACCTTATTGTCAATTCTTATGTGATTCAGTGTTAGTATTCATCATTACACATTTCATAACTTACAGTTCTCCATTGTTCTACAGCCTAATTTATTTTAGTACTCACATTAGATCTTAGCACTCACATTAGATCTTAGCATACTTAGTGGCAAAAAGAACATTCCTTTTATGTTATCTTTTGAATAAATTCACAGCTTCACAGCAGTTGAAGTACTGTTGCACTCAACAGCACTCTAATATTAAAAGACTTCAATTTTAAAAAATTTATAAGCAGTGTACTAGCTATAATCCAAAAGAAAAATATTTGAGGCCAGATTACATGGTTACAATCCCCGTCCTGTGACAAACATATAATATATTAAACCTACTTTTTATTTTCCTCATTTAATTTCCTCTGTATAACTTTTTAAATTTATCTGTAACCAAACACATACATTTAGTAGTATCAAGGACACTAGGGAAAATTTTCTTCCGTAGTACTGGGAATCATGCAGCACTGGGAACCCTATTTAAGGAAATGTCCAATTGGAAAACTGGAATCGTATACATCTTCTCAACAATCTGCCACATGGGAAATTAACTAATCAAACCCAGAGTTTTATCAAAATGCATAGAAATGTATATTCTAATTCTGTGTAAGAGAAAAGTTTGGTTTGGCATTATCGCTATTAAAAATTTATTCACATACAGTAATTGAATATTTACTGGACTATCTAGGGAGAATTCTTTTGCTTCTAGATGCTGATTTCTTGGGAAAACATCACTAGCTAGGAATTGTGTAGGGATAGGGAGCTATTGTTTAAGGCAGATTTGCAGCTTTCCAAAACTGCTGGGTATTGATTGCAAAAAAAGTATTTCCTGTTCATGAATTTATGTTCCTGTTCATCAATTTATTCTGTTTTATAAGAACAAGTTTGTTCTTATAAAAAATAAATACAAAAAATTCCATTTGAGAATTTTCATGAGCATAAGAAAAAATGCTAATACAGATAATTACAATGTATTACATAGAACGTGATATCTTTTTTAATCAATTTATATTTTTCAGAAGATAACTGAAATAAAATATCAATGTTCCATTTAACAGCAGCAAAGATTTCTTAAAGGAAGCACTTCTTAATAGCATGAATGAGAAAGTAGCTCCTGCAGTGTCTGAGGGCAATGAAGATTAGTAACTGTCAGATTACAGAATGTGTAAAAAAACATAACTCCATTAGACTATTTCCTGAAACTTTAAAATTCATTCATTTTAAAAATTCATTCCTAAAAACAAGAACAACTAATTAATTTCAGGACCAGATTACTGATTTTTCTCACCTCTATTCTGGACAGCCCTAGCAATGCAGTTGCAGCTCTGACACTACTGCTATCCAGAGTTCCTGTGATCTTTCTTCTTTTATATTCAGTAGTTGACATCTGCTGTTGAGCAGCAATAGCCAGAGCTCTTTCTCTCGATTCATTGACCAGTGGAATCCTGAGTTTTTCTTCGAGAGTCTGTCCAACTCTACATTTCAAATATAAAATTGGCTCTACTGCACTTGGACCTATTTAAGTAAAAGCACATCAAAAAAAAAAAAAAAAAAAAAAAAAAGACAAATATCGTAACTGTATTAGAACACTTAAAATACTTAGCCTGCAAAGAAAAGGCTAAACACAAAATTCCTTTCATATTCACTTATATGCTATTTATCTACTTACCTATTTTCCTTATAATTTTTTTTTATTATTACTGGGGAAATATAAATCAACGTAAATCAAAATCCAAATACAAAATTCAAAAATTCTACACCGGCTTCAAACTATTACAATAGTAGCAAAACTTAAAAAAGTCTTTCTGCTACCTAAAAACTACAACTACCCTTTTATCCCAGTAGAATATATTGCATCCCTACAAGCAGGAACTACTAGCAATATAATTCTAATTAGAGATGGTAAAATTCAATATTTTTCCAAATACCTTGCTTTGAGATCCACAGTTCTTGTCAAAGCTCTCTGAACTAAATAGCAACAAATATTTACTCATCCCTCACACATGTGCACTTGACTTAAATCAAACAAACATTTTCACTTTCCCAAATTAAAATATTAGTAGTAAGAAACTACTTGGAAGGAAAATAAGTCTGTGATAGAACCTTCGTGCACACAGTGGTATCAAACAATCCTAGAAAATGAATGTTTTATCTTATTAGGCAAGCCTTATTGGAGACAAATTACATTTAAGAGCAAAATGGATTTCTGCCATTTCATGCAAATGCTATAAATGAAAATCATCTTGCACTGTTTTGTTTAGCTTTAGTTTCATAGCAGACAAGTTTTCATAACTGCTGTATGTCTCTGTATTTTTATTTTTTCAGTGAATGTTTGTTACAATGTTTAGCTGATCCACAAATTCAACTATTCTCAACAGCGGCTTTCTTTGAATCTCAGCCCAAAGTGGCTTGAAATGGCTGAGATATGAAGATCAAAAGATAAGAAGGTCCCACGAACGTGACCCTGAGCAGACTAATTCTAGGATTAAAAGCAAGGAAGAGCTTGTAGTAACTAGAAAGTTCCAAGTAAAGTCTAGAGCACATTACACGTTTTACATATCATTGCTATTCATAATGGAGATCTATTTCTGTGTCTCATCAATGAATATCTAGTAGAACACTGACTTTCCTACGGAAAACACAACAAAAGCAGAATTAAGTAAAAATGGCTACTGAAAACCAAGACTGTAACGTACTATGACAGTTCACTTGTTTTGACCTCTGATAACAGTTTTTATTTCACGATGATCCAGAATGGGATGCACTTAACTTAATGAATGGTCATACTCTTGAATTAACTGCTTATACAAGAACAGCCTCTGCATAACACACATAAGGGTGCAAGAGACCTTGATTATTTTAGGGTTGAGCATGTTGTAAAAACTGTTAGCATATAATCACTATAATATTTTTATATGAAGCATAGAAAAGATTCTAGTTTGAGGTAAAATGAATTTATAATTGATTATACAATCCAGGCTTTTCCTTTCTCTCTTCATAAGAATAGTTAAAATGCTTGAATACAAAATATTAGAGGGTCTTCAAAGGAAGTGGCATAGAAGTTGTCTTAAGTTACATAAGTGTCTTATTTGACCTGGATGTGTCATCTTTAATTTTTACCATACTAAATCTGTCCTGTCAGAAAACCTCTTGGAAGAAACATAATCTCTAACATATTAAAATTTGCTCACCCAAAAACACATCTAAGACTCAGTCATGGAGAAGTACGTCTCAATCACAATCAGTGAAATAGGCCATATACGTAATGATCATTTCCAGGTTAGTTACTGTCAGACATTTCAACATTTCTTAACAAGCAACGGGAAGAACAGTAAAGTAACTTCCTAATGTGTATCACATTCTTTAGTGTCAGAACATAAAGTAGATATATTTCAAATAACTGCCACGCCTTTCTGAAATAGGAATGACAGCAATTTATCACTGCTTGAGGACAAAACTATATCTGTAAAATCACAATACTGTATACAAAACATTATAAAACTAGGAAGACTAGTCAAAGATGACTTGCCCTGGTATATCTGACTACAACCTACATTCTGAAGTAGAAAACAAGAGAAATTATGAGAAGATATTCATATAAACTATATTGAAAACAACTTTACACAGAAGTTGAATACAATAGCTAAAAACTAGCTAACTTCTGCACTGAAGGGAATGTACTGGACTACACTAAAATAAACATCTCATAGTTACGCTGTACTACAAACAACTGCTTATATCAGATATAATTAATGAATGTTAGCAAAAATCACTGGGAACTAAAGAATATTTGTGAAGTAGATTGATTTGCTCTATGTTTCTCTCCCACCATCCATTTACTTTACCTTCTAATGTACTGCTAACATGCAAAACATTTGGACTATCCATTGGAAGCAGTTCTGAAGGCAAAGGTATGTCACCTGCTCCTTCTACAAGATATACAAATTCTCCAATCTGAAACACAGAAACACATAATCAATTTGCAATTCTGGAAGAACCATCATTTTAGAACTATGTTCAAATAAAAGCAAATTACTGTTTCAAACCCTAGTATGATAATCATGTTTCTTTAATGTATCTGAAAAATGAAAAAATTTCAATGAGATGAATCCTTTTCAATATATTTTAACTGAATGAGAATACTTTGAACCATATATAGAATGGTAAATTCTTATTATGTGCTATAGCCAGATATATTTAAACACGTATACCAGTTGCCTTGATTGCTTTCCACTGTTAAGAATTGTAATTTTGAGCCAGTAACACTTTTCAAGAAAGCAAACAAGAGCGGAATTCAAAGCAGGCTAGCATCAGGTACAAATTATCCACTAAGAAGAAAATAAGTTAACAAATCTTACTTAATTCATCAAAAATAATTAAAGCCTTATAGGAACTTCAAAGCAAACATAAACATGGCCTAGAAAAAAAAGAAAGACAGTAACTTGTCATGAAGTATAAATTAATGATCAGAGAAATAACACTTTCAGTCATTGAAGAAATTAAAAAAAAATTAAAAAGGGTGAATTGAAATAGAAAAAAAAGTATTACTAAAAAAATAAGAAAATTCATTAAAGTATAGTTTGAAGTTACAAAGAGGACATCCCAAAACTAAAAATACCTAAGTTAGGTACTTATATACTTACTAGGAGATTTAGTACATATAATATTATTGCTTTATTAACTTCTGCATTTTTAAATTACTGCAATTTTTTTTTATTTTTTTTAATTTTTTTTTGGATCATTTAACTGATTGATTGCAATGCAAGGGACCAAATGGTGCTGCAACAAAACATATAACTTGCCACAGAAGGTCATCTCTTATCTTTCTCGTAAAAAAACATTCCATAAAATCCTGCCTTAAAAATGCATATCAGTCATTTATTCTGCATTCCAGATACGAGGGCAAAAAATCTTTATATCATTTTGTTCATCTGCTAAACTATGCAATTTTTTCTCTCTAATACTGGTCAATAAAAGAAGATGAGTCTGTTTTTTATTTTATTCCAGGCTTCATCAAATATTTACACTAAGGCTGGCAACATTGCAGTTATGTTTCTGACCCAGCAGAAGGAAACCTATTCAATTTTCATGGCACTTTCTCTCCTTTCTTGATTCAAGAGTTCAGAGAAATCTTCCTTAACAGGGATTAAAGAATCCTACAGCAAAATTGGTTTCCCACATATAAACTAATAGCCACTCCTGGGAGCCAATTTAAAGAGAAATTATTCCTATTTGATACAGCATTTTGACTCCATAAGGACTATTAACATATATCACAGCATGTACATTTAATTTCATGAAGGTACTGGTTGCTACGTTGCCAGTTCTACTACCAATTAGTTTTCTTGTCATTGCTGACAACAATATGCTTATATATATGAACAAATTTCCCCATTTCTCTCCCTGCTTTGAAAATATATTGCTTTTTGGTCTACATAACATGTAAATCCTGTTTGCTGTTTGTGATCTTGAGGAACAGGGGCTTGGCAAAGACTGAGGTCAGGACCCTGAATTCAGGGAGAGTAAACTTCAGGTTGTTTAAGGAATTGCTGATTGAGATCTCCTGGGAAGTTGTCCTTAGAGACAAGGGACTGGAAGGAAGCTGGCTACTCTTTAAGAATGCCCTTCTGAGAGCTCTCTGTCCCTCAGAATAAGAAAGTAGGCAGGAGAGGCAGGAAACCAGCATGGCTTGGCAAGGAGCTGCTGGTCAAACTGAGGGAAAAGAAGGGATTGTACCAGCTGTGGAAACAAGGGTGTGTCACCTGGGGAGAATACAGGGATGCTGTCCGGACTTGCTGAGAGGGGATTAAGAAAGTCAAGGCATGGATGGAGCTGAATTTGATGAAGGATGTTAAAAACAACAAGAAGGGATTCTATAGTTATATTGGTCAGAAGAGGCATGTCAAAGAAAGAGTACCTCCTTTGGTAAATGAGAAAGGAGAATTAGATACAAGAGATATGGAGAAGAAGGCTGAAGTACTAAATGAGTTTTTTCCTCTTCACTGATAGACAGGATTTTCATATTTCTCATGTCCCTGAAGCTTGCAGTTCTGAGCCTCAAGGTGAGAAATGGGGGAGTAAATCCACCCTGCTGTAAATGCAGAGCAAGTCCGAGACTGCCTCATGTGACTGAATGTACACAAGTCCATGGGGCCAGATGACATACACCCCAGGGTCCTAAAGGAGCAGGCTGATGTGGTTGCTGAGCCACTCTCCCTCATATTTGAAAATATGTGGTTGTTGGACAAAGTCTCCAGGGACTGGAAAAAAGGAAACGTCACTCGCATTTACAAAAAAGGGAGAAAAGAGGACCCAGGAAACTACAGGCCAGTGAGCATCAGTTCAGTGCCTGAAATAACTGTGGAACAGATCCTCCTAGAAGACATGCTAAGGCACATGAGGGATGAGCAAGTGATCCGAGACAGCCAGCATGGCTTTACCAAGGGAAGGTCGTGCCTGACCAATTTGTTGGCCTACTGGAGTTAAACCACAACTCAACTACATGTTCTTTAAAGCTTCCAATCATGGCTTTCTTTCTTAAAAAAAAATAAAAATAAATAAATAAAAAATAATAAAAATTGCCAGTGGTTTCAAATATCAAATAGGGTCAGATAAACACATTTGAACATCATTGTATTGGTCTTATTTTCTTTAAAAATAAGGAAAAAAATAAAAATGGCCAGGTGCTATAACCTAGTTAAACACTACAAAGAAACATCAAGAGATTACAAGTAATCTCTTGCTCTGTATTGAGGAAAAGCATGGAAGCTAAGAACCTGCTTAGCTTCCTAAGCTTCTCTAAGGAGAAAAAGAATAAGTCATGTAGTTCTGGATGTATTCTTACAAATAAAGAAAAAAAAAATAATAAAGAAATGAAACACAGAATAGCAGATACATATAATGGCACAGAGCAAAACCTGAAACACAGAGTTTATATTACGGATGTAAGAAACAGAATGCAAGCCTTGAGATCAACCACACATAAAGTAGGATTAGACAAACAACAGGATGTTGAAAAAACATTGATAGCTGATGGCAAAACACAGCAAAGAGGTTAAAGAGGTAAGAAGAGAAAAATAAGAAGGTTGTTGCCACTGAGATATAGGATTACAGGAACATCGAAAAGGCTGTATTGCAAATTTTAAACTCTGAAAGTTGATCAAAAATAGGTCTTGGTAACTTGATGAAATCAATTTCATTTAAAAACAAAGGAAATCTTAGATTGCATGAATCAAGAAAAAGGGTCAGTATTCATGTACAACAGGCGAATGCTTTTAATTTCTTTTCTGGATATAAAAGAGTGGTAAATTTTGGTTTAAATTTCTTTGCTAAAACTTGCAACCTTCTGATCTTCTTAAGCAACATTTGCCTGAAAGAATTAAATGAATATTGTACTTCAACCAAAAGCAAATAAGCAAACAAACAAAAAAACAGAAAATGAAAATATTTTCACTTCAAGTCTGGGCATAGATCACCTCAAACATCTAAAAGCTTTACAGAAATGATCTTAATTGACTAGAATATCATGTGAAAACCACTTAAAGAACTTAGTTTCCATTCTTACCATTTCATTAACCAGAATGACAGTGCAGTAACGTTTTTCCAGATTAAATGGAAGAAAGAGAATCTCTAGGGCTGCAGAACTTCTCCCTGCCAAAAACAGCTTTTCCTGGGGACTGAAGAACTCAGGCAGGAGGCTGGACTGGACAGCTGTTAAAAAAGTTTTAGTGGTTGCTCAAATAGAACAGAATGAGACATAATATATTGCATCTGCCTAGGATACTGTGTACAGCCTGCTGTAACAGTTGGTGTTAAAGGCACTCCAATGTTACGCGTATGTAAACCTCCTGCAATACTGCACACTAATCGACTGGGTGATCTTGTGGGTCTTTTCCAATCTTGGTGATTCTATGATTCTATGATTATTGCGTGTACTGACACAAAATCAAAGAAAACAGACTGTTCTCACTATCGGTAAAAACTCTTCAAAGATGTACAGCCTATAACTAAATAACTCCTCTTTAATACTCTAGTTTAATACTATTTAAATGAACTGCCTTGACCTCAGCAGCAGAAACATGTTGTTATAATATGAAATTCTCCAGAATTAATAATAACTAAGTTTATTATTACTGCTTTAAACTAAACCTTGTGTTGACAAATAACATTCTTCCTAAGACACTAAGAATCTTACAGGTGAATGTGGCAGATTCAGACAACTTTCTCAGTGAGTGCTTTTCCTGTACTAAACAAATTTGGGTAATGTACAACAGTTTAGAATTTGACTTGTGTTCAGCCTTGGCTGTCTAACATTCTAGAAAGGTCAACAGACTGGAAAGCAGAAGTGCAGGTAACTGAAATGAACACAGATCACAGAACTATAGAATGCATGAGGCTGGAAGGGTCCCCTGCAGTTCACCTGGTCCAACCCAGCATGCTCAAGCAGGGCTAAATAAGAACCTTACTTCACACTCTGGCTAATCAAATATAAATGATTCACTACCTCCCTTCCCAAACACCAAGAGCTTCATTAAAGAAAAGTAATCATCCACACCTCCCACCTCCAAATACTTCTTCTCCCCATCATTCAAATTGAAAGAATAGCTTCCAAACAAAAGGAATTTCCCAACATACACAATTCAACCAACAGCTAAGTTGCACATGAATCTGCTGTTTCCAAAGCTAATATAAACAATAACAAGCACAAATAAACATAAAGGTCAATTTTTACCCTTCCATCCAAAAGGGTAATTCTTTTTTTTTCTTTTTTTTTTTTTTTTGGTTTCCTGCTTAGTCTCCTGTTCAAATGTTCCTCGTCCAAAGTATTTCAGACTGTGGAACAGTGAATCTTGTGAGAGCCCTCCTTCCTTACCTGCTCCCTGGATTGTCAAAAATTAAACAGTTACCAAAGAAGGCACATTCAGTACATAATTCAGATTTAATAAAAGCAGCCTTTTATTGCGGCTGCTCCAAAAAAAACAAAAATGTATTTCTTGAGGCCTGCTTTGCACTTAGGACTTCACTTGCCCTTAACAGCAATGTTTCCTCAGTTCAGGATGTAAAACACAGAGAACACTCTTATTTAGGTTTTGCCGTGTTACAGAGAGAAGAATGAAAAATTATTCTCAAAGCAGAATTACACTTCTACAAGAAATAAAAGCATAAATTTAGGTTCCTACAACACTAAAACACTATAATAAATGACTCTGCAGCAACGATCTGAAGCTAAGCTTGCTTTGAAAGCTATTCTTAAATTACTACAATAGTTGTAAACTACCTCATTAGTTAAAGTAAATACATTTTTATGAATTTTTATGAATGCTGTAATAGCTGTTAATCATATCTCAGAATACAATATGAGAAATGAATATAAATAGAAGGGAAGGTGATTCAAATTAGATTACAAATCTGTTCTTCATATAGTTTCATGAAAACAAAACAATATTTTCCAAGAGGACAGAATTCATTTTCTGAGGTCAAATTTTGCTCAAGAGCACTTTTGACAGCTTCAGATTCATACGTTTTTACAGAACTTTTTCATTTTCTGTTTCACAGGAAAATAAAAGCAAGATTTGTACTGTCTATGAATACTTTCAAAGATAAACCAGGTAAGCTGAAGAAGCTCCACAGCAAACTCCCATGCAGCTCTTAAAAGAATAAGCACTTTTAAATTTATTTATGTTAAAGTCACTAGGTCTATAGTGCAGCTTTAGAAATAAATTCAATCAATTCAACAAATAGTACATTCTACTAAATAATAATTACCAAGTGTATTTTAAGATTTCAGAATCAGATGCTTTAATTGCTACTGTAGTAAGGTAAGAGGTTATAGTGATACAGAGATACTTACAGCAATTAAAGTATTTGGCTTCATTTGGCTCTTCAAGCAGTGTCCTGTTTTTACAGTTTAACACATTATTTTCAGAACTAAAAGGAAACAAAGGAAAGCAATAGACCAAAACTGGACATTAGTATTTCTGTTAATGGACAGCTTTTTTCCTTTTTGTAGACATAAATACAGGAAATTCAAACGTTTTCAATGGAAAAAAAAACCAAAAAATTTGGAACCAGATATTTATCAATAATGGTTATTTAATTTCTTTGACATACATTGGGAGTCATATTTATAATGAAAGTAGAAAAAGATTCCTCAGTTAACTTGTGTAATATCTCTGCAGTATTCATATAAACCAAACTCCATGTCAAAATATACATATACATTATATATATATTTTAATATAGATATATGTATTAGTCAAAAGCACTGCCGTCCAATAATCTTCCACACAGTTTTTCTCTTTATCATTTCAGTATCCTATGACAATAGATAATTATTACCTTGTACATCCAAAGGTCTTGGAATGCAAAATGCCAAGGCCTTGCATTTCACTGATAACTCAGTTGATTTCATATCAGTTTTTCAGTGTTCCCCTTAAAAGCTATTCTAGAAATACATCTAAAAATCCTATTTATTTAATGTTACATACTGGTAGATTTAAAAGATATACTACAATTTCTATTCAGAGCACAAAACAGCATGGCTTCATCCTACTATACCTTAACAGGAAAAATGAGAGTTAATCACAAGTTAATCACTAAATGCAATTTTCTAAAATAAATATTTTAAATAAATATCTCTGCTCTTCATGATGTACTATACTGTTCCAAAACACCAAATTTTGGTATAGTCTCAAAGATACTTAAATGATCTCACAGCAGTTCCCAGACTGAATCAGTAGCACACAAACTATTTAAAACTTACAAGCTATTATTTTCTCTTAGAGGAAACGGGGCACAATCATTTAAGAAAAAAATGCAACATAGACAGTTGAACATTTGCATATTTCTTGGCAAAATTAGGGAGATATAAATCGTTACCTTCTTGCTTCAGTTAATTTAGTTCACTTGCAAAGTTCTTTTCCACAAGGCTATGGCCCTGAAGAAGTAGAGTGAGAAAGCCTGGAAACAGCTAAGCTTGTTTCCCCCAACCACTTCTACATTAAGACTACAGAAATGGTCCACATACAGTGATAGTGCAATTAATCACTCACATGCAAACCTAATATAATCAAAGTTTTTTCTGAAAAAGGAGGAAAAGGAATGAAGAAGATAAATTTTAACCTAAGCATCCTACTCTGTTTATGATGTTATTGTTTTTCAAGTGAACTTGAAAAGAACAGATATGCCTGAAAAAAAAATTTACAACAGTCTTTGCTTATTCCTAATCCCTCCAAATCAAACTGTGCTTCTTACTTTCTTATTTTTTTTATGTTACTAGTATCTTATTTCCTTGATATTACTTTATATTTTTTTTGTCCTTCTTCACAAATAATTTGTACCACTGTTGACAGGAGTTCTGCTGTTACATTTATGGAAGAACAGTTTTGTTTAATTTAAAGTAAGTACAGGCAAGAGCCCACAGATGATGAAAAAAATACTGTAATGTATCTTAAAAAAAAAATACTGCAAGTAAATTTTTCAGCTCTAGACTTGGGTTTAGTATTATCTACACATAAAAGTAATTCTCCTCTAGCAGTAAAATTTGATGAGCCAGCTTACAGTAAACAATTATAATGTACAAGATTTGCCAGCTACTGGTCCCTCTTACAGTGTTAATATTGCTGTGCTTAAAAAAAAAAATCACAACCTTAAATAAATTGATTTGTAAAATTCTCAGAATATGATACCCTGGAGATTCAGTTTAACATCTATACTTTTTTTTTTTAATTATTTTTCAGAAGGAAAAATGATCTCTGAAGTATGTGGGTTCAACATAATATATATTCTATACTAACAAATAATTATTTATTTCATTTCACATACATACAAATTTCCTATTTCAGTACTTTATCTTTGAATCAGAATGCCAAGGTGTGATTGTAAAGACAGAGACTAGAGCAAAAAAATCATTACAGAAACCATGAACTGTTTAAAAGCTATATGAAAACTGACAACAAATATAATAATGTAATGATGACATTATACATTAAGACCATATGTAATACAACAAGTCTTCACTGGGGTCTGCATAAATCCCATTTTTGGAGTTGAATGACTGAGAAACTTGTTTTACTGGTTTGAAGGTCTGTCTCTGTAAGTTTATTCTCACTAAAATAAAGTATTTGAAGATTAATGAATGGGAAAAGAAAGAAAACAGTTTTTGGCAGATACACATTATGTCTCATCCCACTAAAATAAAATACATAATTCTTGCAATACTAAAGATTAAAAGAATATAATTGTTTAAGAAGCCTGTACTCAGTTTTGCTCAATATGTTCCCTTTAAATACACTGAGAAATAAGGTTGGAAAGAACAGCTTAAGCTGCTATAAAATTAGTCTACATAGACATTTTGCTATGGTTTTAAGCCCACAGTAATGTCCTAGCAGGCCTTACACACTAATCATTTTACTCACGTTAACATTCAATTCTACTGTATGAAATATGTTGAAGAAGATGAGCTCCAAAACTATATGCTGTTTAGACACGACGGCAAAGGATCCTTGATCTAACTGTGGGACTAAGCACGTAGTTTTAGTTCAGCATCGTTTTGTATTTGAATTCCTGGGCCATGTAGCAAGTATCTCTTCAACTGGTTCTTCTCCCATGGGGAGAAGACCATACTGGGACACAGATGTGGGCCAAGGACAACTACTGAGGTGTCGAGGGCTTCAAAAAGTACAGAAAAATGTGTAATTTGAAAAAATCTAGTGGCATTTATCACAATATACATAAAAGAAAAAAAAAGTCAATTGGATAAAAGAAAAACCACCACCCTTCTCACAAAGATCGTTCAGCTAAAGGTGGAAAAAGAGGTTTTGACTGCAACCACGAATTATACCTTGGCTCAGACACAAGCTATGGTTATGATTTTATTTTAAATAACTTAGAATTAAAACTTTCAGCCTGTGGCTGAAAAACAGTTATTAAGCTGACAGTTATTAAAACAGTGCAATTTGTAATGTCTGGCAGGTTCCAAAAATTGTATTAGATATTTGTGATCTACGCTAGGACATTTCCAGAGAGTGTTATGAAAAGAGTGCCAAACCTTCTTTGGATTGCCTCTTTCTCCTTTTACCTTGACTGTGAATGATTCTGATCTACATCTCTCTTCTTCAATGCTCCTAAAGATTTCCTGCTGTTCATCTGAACTTCTTGATACTTATCTCACAGTCTAACAATTAGAGATAGTGAAGACAGAAATTCTTTTGGACTATAAATCTATTTAAACATTGTTCCATCTTTATGATATATATCTCCTTGTCTCTCTGTTACTTTCTGCTTTTCAGTTTTTGTGATTTTATTACATTTATCACACTTATTTTGAACTCTCCTTCACCTTACAGATTCCCTATGCTAGAAAATCTGCCCTTGGTCTGTTTAAGGAAAATGTCTAGACACAAAATTATATTAATTTATTTCAATAATTCTGTATTAACATCCTCTCATTCTCATGTGCAGCTCCAGAGGCCTACAGAACCTGCAATATTTTACACTTCAGCACAGTCTGAATTCCCTGGACTGCCCATATATAATAGGCAGTTGTACCTTCAAATAAATCTATAGACTTCATTCCAGGATTCAGAACTATTCCTTCTTCTAAGGTTCTAGTGACATGAAGCTGGTCAATCTTACTGACATTTTTAATATATCAGCCACCTAAGTTATCGTGGTTGTCCACACCCAGCATCAATATTTCACCTTTTAATTCTGCTTTTTCTACAAATGATATTTTTTTAACGATACTTTTTCTAGAAAGGATATCACATTCATGTTTACCTTTTATAGCATATTTTTCTTTCTCAACTGTTTCAGTAAATTATCTCAAAATTATTTTAAAAATATTGCTTCTTTCTACTATGGTTTCCATGTCCTTGCCTACAATTCTTTACAACTGCTATGCACACAAATATACATACATATGTAATACTAATAAAACTGTACAACTCCATATATTACAGAATTACAGAATCACAGGGGTTGGAAGGATCCTCAAGAGATCATTGAAGCCAACCACTCTGCTAAAGCAGGTACCCCACAGTAGATCGCACAAGGAGGAATCTAGGAGGGTCTTCAATATCTCTATAGAAGGAGACTCCACAAGCTCTCTGGGCAATCTGTTCCAGTGCTCCACCACTCCTACCGTAAGGAAGTTCTTCCTCATGTTAGTATGGAACTTCCTATGTTCAAGTTTTAGGCCGTTACTCCTTGTCCTACATTATAATTCGCAATTGCCATTCAAAACTTACCTGAACGTTTGCTCCTGTTTTAATTGCCTGGCTTGATGTACTTGTTCCGGCTGACTTAAGTAACTTGTGGATTCCAGGAAAATGACCCTGGAACATGGCAAGTACACGTAAATACTCCTTTTTACTAGCAAGATGAGGAACAAAATATAATTTATCAAGCATTTAAAAATTAGAATAAAGAAGCCTACTGTTTTCAGCTTGTAGTACTTCCAAAATACTACTAAAAAATATTTAGTAGTTTGGTAAATTCTTCTCGATTTAATAACTTAAAATAATTTGCACAATTTAATAATGAAAATTTTGAAGGTTTTGTAAGCATGTAAATCCTGAGACACGTATTCCAGATTACTGAAAATTATTTTAAACTGCTACTTAATCAATACTACAGATTGATCTGTTATCATAGGAACGTTTTGCAGGACATGTCATTTTATGACAAGGAAACCAACTTTCTTTCAAAAAAGCTGTTTAAAATAAAACATTAAAAACAAAAATAATGTGCATTTCAACACAAGCAATACTGATATTTTAAGTTGGAAATAATATTCTAAAATATAATTTATGTTACATAATTCACAGCTTTTGGAAATATCTGATATTTGCTATATATTTGACACAAAATCAAAGAGGCTCATATTTTAATTTGCACTTTTCTTAGATAATACTACATCATACGTGTAGTTTTAAGATTTTTAGCCCTCTTTTTGGTAGAAGAGCTACTTTCTTGATATCACAAGTATATTTCCTAGTGTTATTTGCAAATAAGCAATACTACCCCTTGTGGAACTGTAGATGTCTCTAAACACTGAAAAAACTATTCAAAGAAACATTTAATTGTAGATTACTGGTTAAACTGCAGCCCAAATTCATAATTACTGTAAGTGCTTGTCATGTAGTTGTTGAATTATACGTATAACATTAAATTATTTAATCACTTTAATTTATTCTGAGAGCTATCCAAATCATAGAACAGATTACAGACAGTCTCAATAACCACCTCAGTGACTGAGAAAAAAGGCAAACAAAACAAATAAGTTCTGAGCAGAAAGATGAGTCAACAGGGAAGATGACCGGCATGGAGGAACAGGGAACTTTTCCTCAGACTCCAGGACAAAAAGAGTCTATCTCCTGTGCAAGAAGGGATGGGAAACTCAGGGAGAGTACAAAGAAGTTGTTAGGGTATGCAAGAAGAATATCAGAAAGGCAAAAACCCATCTTGAGCTCAACTTTGATGCTGGACTAAAAGAGAACAAAATACATTTTTTCAAATATATTAACAGTAAGAGGAGGGCTATCTCCATCCTTTAATGAATGCAGCAGGGAATGTGACCACTAAAAATAAGGAAAAGGCTGAAATTCCTATGCCTTCTTGACATCTATCTTTAAAAGTCAGATCAATTATCCTCAAGGTACTCTACCCCCTGATCTGGATGTCTGGGATGGAGAGCAGAATAAAACCTCCACAGTTCAGTTGGAAATAGAGACTGAACTGTCACAAGCTCATGGGGCTTCACCCAAGGATGCAGAGGGAGCTGGAAAAGGTGATTGCCAAGCTACTTTCCACCATCTATCATCATTCCTGCTGGAGTGTCCAGAGGACCGGAGGCTTGCCAGCGCGACTACCATCTACAAGAACGTCATAATGAGGATCTGGAGAACTACAGGTCTGTCAGCCTGACTCAGTGCCAGGAAAGGTTATGGAGCAGACCATCTTGAGTGAGATCACATAGCACGTGTGGGACAACCAGGGGATCAGGCACAGCCAGCATGGGTTCATGAAAGGTGGGTGGAGAATGGAGTTAAATTCAGCCGGTTACTGGTAGGAAGACCCTTCAGAGGGATCTGGACAGCCTGGATCACTGGGTGCAGGCCAATGGGATTAAATTCAGCAAGACCAAACCTGGTCCTGCACTTTGGCCACAACAACCCCAGGCAACACTACAGGCTCGGGGAAGAGCAGCTGGAAGACTTTGTGGAAGAAATGTATCTGGGACTGATGGTTGATACTCAGCTGAACATGAGCCAGCAGTTTGCCCAGGTGGCCAAGAAGGTCAATGACATCCTGGCTAGTGTAAGTGTTGTCAGCGGGAGTAAGGAAATGATCATCTCCCTGCTCTTAGCTCTGGTGAGGCCGCACCTTGAGTACAGTGTTCAGTTTTGGGTCCCTCACTACAAGAAAGACATTGAGGCCCTGAAACATGTCCAGAGAAGGGCAACAGAGCTGCAGAGGGTCTGTAGCACAGGTCTTATGAGGAGCAGCTGAGAGAACTGAGATTGTTCGCTTTGGAGATGGGAAGGCTCAGGGGAGACCTTATTGCTATTTACAATCACCTGAAAGGAGGTAGTATTGATGTGGGGATAAGCCTCTACTGTATAACTAGCAATAGGATGAGAGGAAATGTCCTCAAGTTGCACCAGGAGAGATTCAAATTAGATGTTGGGAAAATTTTCTTCTTTGAAAGAGTAGGCAAGCACTGGAGAAGGCTGCCCTGGGAGGGAGTTGAATTATTATTCCTGGAAATGTTCAAGAAACATTTAGATGTTGTACTAAGGGACATGGTTTAGTGGGGAAATATTGGTGATAGGGGGCACTTGGGCTGGATGATCTGGAGATCTTTTCCAACCTTAATGATTCTGATTCTGTATGATTAACACATAGGAGACTTATGCCACACTGGAATATTGAAGCACCAGTGGAGCGATGAAAGCAATCCTGTCCAGATGTCTATACCATAACAACACTGTGGATGGAAGAGAAATTTCATTTGCAGCCTATGGAGAACATTGATCAATTAAATAAATTTGAAAGTTATGGAAAATGGTTCTTGTAAATAAATGAATTATAAGAACTGATGTTTAAAGATTAAAGACGAAATACAGATCACATAAAGAGATTTATAAAGAGTCACAGCATTCTACTCCTTTTCTTATTAAAAAAAAAAACAAAACCTTAATTCTGCATTTGTTACATCTATGATGAACGCAAATGAAAAATTAGATTAACTGATAGAGATGCAAGCCTCAAGGCAAAAGTATGTTCTTTGTTTTGCATGCTTAATAATTTAAACAGCAGGATAAAGAACATTGGGGGAAAACAACCAACTATTAATTAATATAGTTTGATTCCCTATAGAATTCTGTTGGATCTCAGCCAAACATAAAAATACAAGCAAAGTTCATGAACTCCATTTGATTAAATCTCTAACTTTATTGCTTATACTGAGATGGATTACAATTAAGGCTTATTCATCTTCTTTATTTATGATGATAGTTTCCACTTCACAGTACTTGTAACAATTCTGGTAATGTAAATCCCTATAATTTAACCTGAAGGTTTTACATTTTTAAACAAAATATTAAAAATATGGAACAGTTGATAAAACAGCATGAATATTAAAGACTTGTCTTTATAGCACTGTCTACCTGAATATGCCATCAGTTCTGAAGGGATTAGTAACATTTAGGACAACTTTCTTCAACTCATAACATGGAGATTTGCATTTTAATATAACCTATAAGAGAACAAAAATTTATATAAATGTGAAAAAATTGCAAAACCACATACATTGGAAATACTACCAGGAGAATATTACTAAGAAGAATTTAACCACTGATGACGATACAATTTACACAATTTAAATACTTTGCTGCCAGTACAGTTAAAGCTTATTACTTTTTAAACATGTTTAATTTCCCCACCTTCAAAATGACAGCACATGAACATGATCAAGCTTTTCACATTCTCTTTCTTTATTCCTGCCCCAACCATACTTTCTAACATCAGCATCTGTTGCTATGGTATAAAAAGTGTCATGTAAGAAAGGAGAATCATATAAACTCCATCTATTTCAGAAAAGGATTTATCCAGATCTGCTAAAAGAACGTTTGATAACAAATGCTGGAAACTATGACTATCCCTGCTCTATTTCTAGGAAGTATCTTAAATTTAAAGACTATCAAAACAAAAAAAAGTTCAAATTAATTTGCCAACATCTAAAACAAGTTTACATCAGACAAGTAAAATCATTAGGATAAAGAAGCATATTACCACCTTTTCAAAAAAATTTCCAAAATCATTCACATGCTGAAAGAGATCCAGATTTATTTTCAGAGCAATTTGTGCAAAAAATTTAACATTTGAGATCTCTGTGAGATTTACACCCTTACATATCTCAAATATTCCTCTAGGCATTTCTCTGCATATACATAAGCTAAAATTGGAAACTTGAGCATTAATAGATCAAAGGTTAATGCTGATGGTCACTCACCTTTTGATTCTTACTTCAGGTCACTTTTGACTGATACAACATACATCGGAATAATATTTTTTGTGACAATAATGATTTTACACAGAGACTTACAGCAGGTTCAATATGCTTGACTTCAGATTTCAGGGAGAATGTAAGTGTGGCACCACCTATTCCACCCATTCTCTTTGAGATCAGTAGCAACACTGCTTCAGCAGGATGCAGAAAACGACTTGTGAATTCCACATTTATAGTTGTTTGACTCCTAGGCAAATAACAGTAATAATTCTTTGAATAATTAGGCATAAAACTATAATTCAAGAATTACTCTGAAATATCACTTCAGGAGCATATTTTAGAGTCTTTGAAAGGGAAGGTGGCACTTGTTTCTTCAGAAACACTTCGCTGTAGTTCAACCTCCAGTCTAAAAGCACTTTAAACATTCTAATAAAAACTATATAGATTAAAAAAAAAAAAAAAAAAACAATAGAAGTCCTTACTGCTTTTTACGCCTTCAGTATGTAACTTTATTTTTCCTCCCACACACAATCAGAAAAAGTTTCCTCATATTATATAATTGCCCTAGGCCAACAACTGATTTACTTTATGCTCCCCTATTTGAATACAATTTTGTATGTTAAACAGCTAGACATCCTGCTGTGTATACTGTGAGGCAGATCTAGAAGTTTTTAATAAAATCCCCAAGACTGAAATAATTGAGTAAAAGAACTTTAAAAATAATAAGTACAGTTGAACAGCAAAGAGATGGAAAAAAAATCCAAATAATCTCATGTAAACAATGGATCAAGTTTCTGATAGGAAAAGGGTAAAAATAATATGATTTGCATTAGTCCTGCGATTAAGCAAGACCAACAGCAGTAGCTGAAGCTCACACTTTGAAGCACTCAAAATCACTCTATAATACCAAGATTAGCATTTCTAAAAGCAAGAAAACACTGAGTTATAAAAGTATTCTGCCTTTCTATCAGAGAATAGATCAGAATATAGAGAGTTTCTTCTAAACAGAAAAACAGGCACATTTTTAAAGTTCCTAGTAGAAAACCACAAAATACACAGCCAAATGTCTGTTGACCGGTGTAACTTTCATTGTAATGTCAGAAATATTCTATATAGTTCAAAAAAATTTTAAATAATAAACAATATGAAAAAGATGATAGAAAGTCAATAATCTACAAAAAAAAATCCTGCAATTCTGTAAATTATACAAGCTGATAATATTCAAATAATTCTTCAGAGGAACTAATTAAAACATATATGGGAAAAAGTTGTATTTGTAATGTACAGACTTGTTTGTTGTTTTTCTGGAAGAGATAACAAATATTAAAGTCAAAACAAAACCTCTCCCCACCCCACATCAGCCTTCCCTATTAAATGATTAGTAGCATATGAGCAGCCTGAGGGGAAAAAAAAAAAAAAAGAGAGAGAATTTAAATATAGAAGTGCAGAAAAAATCTGTGTCATTTATCGGTCTTCTGCCAACTGGGAATTCTAAAGCACATGCAAACTACTGATGGTGTGTGAAATATGCCCATTACGTACTGTGAGTACACAATCACAGGTAAGTGGTGAGGCAAAGGACTTGTAACAGAGATCAGCAAGCCATGTGTTTATTGGCATCATGTTAATTTACATTTATTTCACAACTGTGGTAAGAACAGCTGCTTTTTCAAGTGAACTCAATTCATAAATCCTCTCAAGTAAGTTGAACGATTACTGTGAGGGCATAAGTGCTATAATTTGATGGCAGTAGTGACATAATTTGTCCCTAGATTACTATTGCTATCAAGGAAACATTCCAGGAGGTCTTCTAATTCTGTCATATGATGAACACAGAAGAAAATAAAATTCTTACTGAAAACTGCCTTGGGATCTGAGAACTGGATTGTGGTGAACACAAAAGTAATATCTTAAAAATATTTTGAGGAATATCAGGAGAATCTCCAAGCCTTCAACATGCAAGATGAAGTGAAAAACAGCCACAGTATTCAGAGACCATTCAGAGAAATACGTGACATTTTTTGACATTACATTTTTCTGTTAATTCTTATTTGAAAAAAAAATGCTAAGAAAAAATGAAACTTCCCTGGAGGTTAGTGGCCTTGCTTGTGGCAGGGGGGCTGTAACTTGATGACTCTTGGGGTCCCATCCAACCCAAGCTATTCTATGATTTTATGACGCAAATCAGCCCCACAACTCACCAACACAACATTATTCACTTTTCCTCCTGCATATATTTATAATAGTCAACCTATTTAATACTGAAAAGTTGATCAACGTTTAAGAGTACTGTGTTTGTGTTGAATTTTGAATTTAACAATACTATTGACAAGTTTTTCTTCTTTGTGGCTTATTTCATTAAAATGCTGACCTTTGCTTTCCATTTTACAGCCTCCATTCCATTTCACCTGCAAAGCTGTATCTTCAATGGACTTGCAGTATAAACTTAAAAACTCTCAACAGGCTGCCAAGGTCACTTCTATATATACCCTTCTATACCATTACAACTTCAATACTTACACAAGTAGTGATATTGCTATATCTGGTCATAAGTCCTATTGCACAGGAAAAGCATAATGTATGGAGTAAACAAAAAAGAAAACACAGACACATATTTTGAGTATTTCTCCTACTAAAAATGTTAATCTAATGTTTTCCCAAAATTAAATTTAACCTCATGAGTGGCATCTTGGCTTGTGTCAGAAGTGGTGTGGTGAGCAGGACTAGGGAAGTCATCCTGCCTCTGCAATGTACTCAGCATTGGTGAGGCCTCATCTCGAGTACTGTGTTCAGTTTTGGGCATCTCAGTACAGAAAGGACATGAAGGTGCTGGAGCAGGTCCAAAGAAGGCAACAAGGCTTGTGAAGGGCTTGGAGAATATGCCCTACAAGGACAGGCTGAAGGAATTGGGCTGTTTAGTCTGGGGAAAAGGAGGTTGAAGGGAGACGTGCACTCTTCAATTATTGCTCTCTTCAAATACCTGAAAGGTGAATGCAGCAAGAGTGGTGTTGGTCTTACTGGTGACAGGCAACAGGACAAGGGGAGATGGCCTCAAGTTGAGCCAGGGGAGATTTTGTTTGGATATCAGGAAAAACTTCTTTACAGAAAGGGTTGTTAAGCAGGGTTGTTGGAACCCCAGGGAGGTGGTTGAGTCACCATCTCTGGATGTGTTTAAAAACCATTTGGATGTGGTGCTCAGGGACATGATTTAGCAGAGGGCTGTTAGAGTCAGGGTAGTATGGTCAGGTTGTGGTTCGACTCAGTGATCTTTAAGGTCTTTTCCAATGCGAGCAATCCTATGGTTTTATGGTCCTATAAATCCCATTCTGTGATTCGTCTGGCTCTTATAGCACTAAAAACTCATTACTTACTTAGGGGTAATGATTACAGTGTTTCCTTCAGGCAATGAAAAATCATCAGCATCTCTTCCTACAAGAGTAGCAGTGTATGCCAAAGTTTTAATGCTCGGGTTTTTCAGACGAATCTATCACAAGAATAACAACAAAATCATCATATTTTCATTCAATTTTTAAAACATAAAAACCAATTCCGGAGCTACCTTTCAAAATATGAATGAAGGATATCACAAAATAAGAAGACAGTACTTCAAACTACTAGGCAGATCACTTTTCTCCCTAAGCAGTGCAGACATCCCACATACTTTTAGACCTCAATTTTTCTGAGTACTTTTTTTGCATTGTACACTGCATGCCAATGCCAACTGTTAATCTCTGATTCTCTTATATCTTTATCTCAGAAAAAAGTCTTAAATTTATAGATTTTTTCTGTGCTCACAAGCAAAGGATTAAAACAGCAACAAGAAGTCAGGATCCCAATCCTGAAGAGAAAAAAAAGAAAAAGAAACAATTCTTTCCTCTTCTACATTTAGTAGCAAAATTACATGAAACTCATTTCTTCGTTGTGGTATTTACAGAATATAATAATATACAGCACGTTATAACTTGATGCTTCTACAAATCTAAATTCAGTAGTATCAGTACCTGTTTAACAACAGTTGCATGGAGAGCACCTGTAAATCCTATAGTCTTCGTAGGTAAGTAGTGAGGAAGGTTTTCAAATAGGTAGACACACAGAATAAGCATCATGATTGGGTTTGGATCACAGATATCAGTGGCCTAGTATTGAAAACATACAAGAAATAACAACCACATATTAAGTTAAAATTTGCCTGACAGTTTATAAAGACAAAAAGATGCAGAACAAAAAAATTAAGATAAATTCTTACCGTACAAATATTTGCAACCTATTAGTAACTGATATAGGCTCAGAGCTCATATGAATAACAATCTTGTCAGTGTACAAAAATACTATTTCTTGAAGGACACTGACCTGCTCTGCTCATAAACCTATGCTAAAAATTAGACCTACCTTTTTTCCTCGCACTTCAGCAAAAAAACATGTTTATTTTATTATTTAGTGAAGGATAATAAAAAAAGCAAGCAAAACCCATTAACTGAAACACGTATTTTTATCTTTTAAAAAAGATTTTTTAATCTTTCAGCTTACTATGTAAAATGCCATCCCAAGTACTGCTAAGTACAGTTTTGCAACTCTGTATGAACACAATCCAACTAACAAAGGATTACTGCAAATTTCTGCAAATGCCAAATTGCTATATACAGGATTACTGAATCTTAAATATTTGATTTAGAAAAATGAATTTAAATGGCAAATGTAGAGCACGTCAAAGTCTTAGTCTTCAGTGTCTTTATTGTCTCACCGTTGAGAGAAATAGTAACTCTTCCACTATCACATGAACTTTTCATTAAGTCTGATCAAATAAAGAAAATGGAAGTGTCTTCCCACGAAAAATACAGGCAGAAAATACCTAGCCACCAATTCAAACAAATTCCTAAATCAAGCTAATTAAATTAACTATTTTTAAACTTCTTACATAGAATCTTAGAATGTTATAATAATGTTGCCCATAAACTTTCACAATCCTGTCCAAATTCTCTCCTAAATTAAATATCATGTCCTAAGGAAAAATGCATACACTTGAGCAAAGATTTAAACATCAAACCACTGCATTAGCATGTAAACCCTCTAAAAGGTGCCCTTTTTCATTTGAGACATTTTATTTGAATTCCTTATATAACTGAGGCTCATTTAATACAGTAATACTTTGAAAAAGGCTCTATGCATTCCCACAAGCAGAGTTTTATAAAGAAGGCTTGTAACGTAGGTTGAAAAGCAACCTATGAATATTGAAAAGAATATGAAGCAGTCATACTAGAATAAGGGCAAGTCTAACTGAAATCTGCCAGATGACAGCAGATGTAATAGTATGGAGAAGATTAACAACAAATCAAGACTAAAAACAAACTGTTAATTTTTTGCAATTTCTGAAACTTACCCTCAAGACATCAAACAGAAAATGAGGATGTCCTGAAAAGTGCTAAATAATAAGCCTAAAACAGTCAGCTCAATAAAGCAACTCAAAGGGAAGAACCATACCTATGCGAATTCCCAACAGAAACCTTGAAATCAAACTAAATATTTCATTCTCATAATTTTTTTTATAACTACTACTACTCTGCATTGTAAATAGCAATGAAGAGTTGAGGAAAAGAAATTACTTGTATTAGTCACACAGGCTGGAAAATGGAGAAAACTTTTTTGCCACTTCTCGACTATTTTTGGAAAGTAGGAGAGATATTTAGAAATTTCCACTATCACCATAACTCTCTGAGTTAGGGTTGCTTTTTTGTTGGTTTGTTTATTTCCTCGGAGTTACTGAAAGTTTTATATTAGAGAACATAGTCCAGCACTTCTAAGAACCAGCTAACTCAACTCTCTAAAAGTTCAAGAAGAAATAAGACTGTGCGAAAAAGAAAATATCGCTTTCAAAGGACAGAACAAGAATGGGTCTATCTTCAAGTTTTGCAGAAAGGCTCTTCTTCTGTAACAAGAAGAACTTAATTAACAAGGTTAATTCCTCCCATAGGTATAAAAAAAAAATATATATATATATATATATATTTCAGCATCAGAACACAAAAGCAGCTGTAACAACACTGAAGAAGAATCCGCATGATCTGAACACTTACGGATCCCCTAGGAACATCCCTAATCTGCCTCTGCCAACAGAGCAATTGCTAGTGTGAAAGGTATAAGAAATTGGGCAAATATAAAGTGGTCTTTCCATTGACATAATTTCTCAGATACTGGAAATTAATGCACTAAGGATTTGAAATTTTGGGCAAAAATTTCAAACTCCAATGGAGACACCCACTTCCAACATGACATAAAAGAACTCGTTAGTTTAAAGCAAACATCCAAAGAAAAAGTTTTACATGAAGAAACTAAGTGCAGACTAGTAGTTCATAACATTGGCCAAAAAGTACTGCTTAGATCGTCTTCTCCAATGGTGGCTACAAACTGATGGTTAAATGCAGACACTTAGAAGGTAAGTACACATAGACTTCAGTATTTTCCCATCCTGTGTACAAGACTAGCTGAACCACACAAGACTTCTGTCTACTTTCTCTTCCAAGCACATGTATAGTCTCCCTTAAAATCAGTGTAAAAACAGTAAAGGCAGCTTAAGAGAACACTGTTCTACTTATGATCTGTGTACCTGAGAGAGAAGCAGGAAAAAAGTGCATAAGCTAAGTTTTCTTAATGGGTACATTGCAAATAAGTGCAGTAACGCCAAGCATTTGAAATAACATTCACATCCATCAGCCTACTGCACTCTTGCCCAATGCAACAAACAATTCTTTGGTTTTTCAAAGATTCTAGAGTACATTAAGGAAAATAGTTAAAGCTCACAAGTTTTGCTTCATTTCTGTACAGTCATCAAAACAGCATTCCCATCACAATTTCTCTGACAAGAATGAACCTACACTTGACATAGAAGTGGGAAAATATGATGCTCTTTCATGGTCACAGATGGGTGCAAACCATTCTGAATTTCAAATCAGAAAATTTCAGAATAGACTGGTTTCTAAGTTTAAAAATGTAAGGAGTCTCTCTAACACAGCTTTCCTAGTGTAGGAAAAGCTTTTTTTTCTCCTTATTTTTTTCCAATTTGTCAGAAGGTACCCTTCATCTACTACAGAAGTGAAAATAAAAGTAAGGAATTATAATGAGTGAACTTAGCAGTTTTTCTCTTGCTGCTCCAGATCATGACATATCATGCTGTAAAAAGATGATTGGTGTCTTGAATGAAAGAATCTTGGTAAGAACACACAAATGTAGAAAGATCAATGAAACTGTAATTCTTACAAACTTGGGAGATAAATTGAAGGCACAGGTAGATGCCAAGGCACAAGAGGCAGCTGTTCTCTCCACAACAGGGAGCCAAATGAAATATAACAGCTCCAGAGGAGAGGACAGCCTGTTCCATACCACCACTCCACCAGAAGCAGGCCAGCCAAGAGCAGTCCCAATCCTAGCAGTGCACACCTCCCTGGGGATGGGACCAGGCCAAGGCCTGGCTGCGCCATAGTACATGGGTAGGCCCATGGTGGGGCAGGGCAAAGCTGAGAGAGCTGGAGCCAGGCTGTGCTGCAACTGCCCTGAGGTGACACGAGGGCCTGGACAGCTGGGATTGTCCCTGGGGAAAACTAAAGGGCAGACAGGACTAGGGTGCCCTCCAGGCTATGAGAGTAGTTAAGTTTAAGTTACCTCTGACATGTCAGCATCTTTGCTTGATAGTCAAAAATTTTGCCAATACTGTTAGAACACTTTAATTTGCTAAATCTAAGAAACAAGAGTATCAAAAATAATCCCAAATTAGGACACTTTCAGCAGGAAGATGCATGTATTTAGTTGCTTTTATTGCTGGAGAATAAGAAATTTCTGAAGTACTCTTTGAAAAACATGTATGAATTCTGGTAAATCTATGCACAAAGTATTTCTTATATTCTCTACTGTTTTTCCATTCCAGAATATTTTGATTGCAGAACATGTCTTAGCTACAATTAAAATGCACACCTTGAATGTCTACTATTGACTGATTATATAGCCTTGTTTAAGTTCTTAATCTGTACAAAGAACTTTCCCATCTATAAGAACATGAATACCTGAAAAATGTGGTGAACTTATTATATTATTACACTGTATCTGAAAAGACACTAAGTGCATTAAGGTGCATGTCCTGGAGATCTTCCATCTTTTTCTTATGAGGTATCAGCTTCTGCCTGCTTTTATTATTAAAAGATGAACCAAAGCATGCCTTTATTTTGAAGACTGCATACAGATTATCTTTTTACGGTTCCTGCCAGTCATAAGTCTGTGAAACAGTCAATTTTCTTGGTTTAGCAAACAAATTTATATGGCATAGTAAGGCCATTTATAACAGCATATATGTATCAGGAGGTGGGAATAAAAAAACAGCTAGTGCAACTGGAAAATAATAGGGTTAGCTTTGCCCTGCTAATCAAATGGAAGGAAAAAAAGAAGTTGTAATTGAGCTTCCTTCATAACTTTGTTCACACAGCAACTTTAGCCCTGACTTCTAATGCTATTTATTCCTTTGGAAAGTTTCCTTATGTGCAGGTAAATGCTACGTGCATTCCATTATGTCTTCTGGAATTCTAACAAGCTCAATATGTTTCACTCTCACCCCAGCCCAGCACAGTCCCTGACATTCAGTTTACTCATGATGGAAGCTGCTCCATTCATCAAATCAAGAGAGAGATGAGACTTTTTTTTAGTTTTTACTAATTTTGGTAAGGATAGTATTTTTAATCAATAAGGGAGCAAAAGAGAAAATGTGACAGTGAATCAGACATTTTAAATAGCCAGTACTCCAGTAAATAATACATACAAGCAGAATATAAAAGATAAAAATGTGAGTCCCTGTAAGAGTGTAGTCTTTTAATACAGCCTTGCAACAGTTAATTACAGGCCGTAAGTTTTGTACTGAATTTACAAGGCCTCAGTACAAGCATTTGACAAGCTTCCTCTAAATTTTCTTGACTAGCTTACAAGATCAGTCTTTTTTCACTTGGTTTAGCTGTGATGTCAATATCTTTAATAGATGAGATGTCTCTGGCTAATTGGTTTTACTTTTGCATTTGCATGGTACTGGCAGCAGCCATGACTGTAAAGAGCTTGCAGTCAGCAACTTAAAGAAATACAGATTTGGAGCTGGACAAAACTAGTTTTACGTACAACAAAAAATGGTATCTAACATATCTGAAGGGCATCATATATATAATATTGACTGTAGGCCAATGGGAGAAAAGAGATTTGTGAGGTGCTACCAAACATATAAAAGTGATTCTAATAAAGGACTCCAGAGTCTGATGGATTAGCGTTACTCACACCAGCAGCCCAAAGTTACTGACTTACTCGCGTATAAAAGCTGTGAAAGAATTCTTATGAGTCATTATGATTTAGAAAGAGACCTAAGTGCCACCAAACATTTATAGAATTTATCATTTTTTTAATGTTCAACTGCATTATGTTAGATCTTCAGTATATTTTTTCTATGTTGCCTTAGAATGTTAACAATAAAGGCATCTCATTCTGTCATTTTGTGATTTACAATGCCCGAACTGACTTAATCTTTTTTTATCCAGCTAGTTATACATTTACAGTTTTACAAATCAAGAAATTATGGAAATTACTTGTAATTAAATATATTTATATGAAGAAATATTTTGGTTTCCATCATATAGTATAACATGAAATAAAACTAATTTAGTAAAATCTCATCTCAATTTCATATACACTGTTATCATAAATGTAAAAAATAATAAAAAAGTATATAAGTACTGATCAGACAAAAATATTTACCTTTACGTCTATAGTCAGGCTGACTGCATGCATAGCATTCACAAGTATCAAACAGTTGTGTAGAAAATGTGCAGGAGTCCTTGGATAAGTATACATCCTTACAAAGTGAGAAGCAATCTAGGGAAGACAGAATTTAAACTTTTCATATTCTACAGAGCAGAACTACAATGTTTGCATTTTCAGTCTTTCAGAAATCCATAAGATCTAAGTTTTAAACTAAAATTATCAATAGAGAATATACCTAGAGAAGGGAAAAAGAAATACTGAAATAATGATTCTATACTCCCTATATAGAAGCCAACATTTCCAAACGAACTTACATTAATATTGGGCTCTAGATAAAACTTGCAAGATATTAAGAAGAGTTCTTACCAAGAATGGACAGTAAGCTGCTATCTGTGCTGCCAATACCAGACCATCTAGAAGATCCCGGTCAAAATTTACTATCCACCTCATCAGTGGTACTTTACCTAGTTTAAAGACAGAGTAGGTTGAATTAGGTCTCTCCTGATCTCTCTTCTGAGATGACTAATTTTATTCTGGGTAAATAAGATGACTTTCTGAAACAACTGATTAGAGGAAATAACAGAAAAAGGACTTATGCCATGTTCAGATGTAGAAGTTTCCAGGCATAAATTTCCAGAGCCATTAAATTTTACTCTCACACTCTGCTACTGATTTTAGAGTATTCATTACAACTGGAGGGAAAGTAGATAACATTAACTTAGCTGCAAATGTAGGTACCTAAGCATGTAAATTATTTCTATTTTTATAGACATAAGGTTCATACACAGCTACTGAAACTAACAAAAATACACAGGAATCATTTTCAGTTGCAACATTTAAGTCAGAAGGTCATATTCAAGGTCATATTAAGTTGTTTGTCACTTAAAAACTCAATGTCAATCAAAGCTAATAGTTTGACCTTCAGCATAGGTCATTACTTCTATGTTTGGGTTTTCAGGGCTTATGCTTCACGAGGTTACAATTTTTTTAAAATTATTTCTAATATATTTGTTTAAAATAAAATTGATTAAAGTAAAGAAAGTAAATAAGTACTTTTATTTGAAGCAGTCTATATCTTACATTTATCACAGCATTTAAACAGTGCACAACACTGTGTAACAATAACAAACCACAGGAAGAATAGTCATTTGAAATGTTCATTTCAAAACTCTCAACTTCAAAAAACTCTTCAAAAATATGATTGAAACTTGTGATGATCTCTGAAAAAAGCTACTGACTTACTAATAACTAAATGTTTTTAATCACACAATTACTGGTACTTTGCACTCCAGATAATACGCAGTTTTTAAAGCATGAACACAGAGGAGAAGATCATTATTGTTTTTTTTTTAATAATCTGGTAACAAATACTCAAGAACTGCGTCACAACTTCTTCAATCAGTTATCTGCACCTTCTTCTAACTTCCACCACAAATAGTTAATCTTTAATTTCCTTTGTTTTCCCTACTGTTTAAAGTCTGAGCTTACAAATTTAGGGAACACTATGGATTTCAGTCACCAGCAAGGTTTACAAATAGTCTGGGATCGTGCTTCTCACACAAGATAATTCAGATAGCTTTAGTTTCACTATACATTCAGCCAACGTACCAATTACAATTTACCAACCTTGAAGCTTCCTAGATTGAAAAATAGCTACCAATACATTATGGAATCCAGGATGAACTGACATGTTATGTACTACACACAGATATTAATTTTATAATACACAGAAATGTCTTTTTTCAAAAATGTTACCACTAAAAAGAGTTGGTAAGACTGAGATACTATGACAGTAGTAGAAAGATGTTAAGAACAGTCCACTGTCTTCATTAGAAAAAGAATTTGGAGACTACAGTAAGTGACACAGAAATAATGTAAAACAACAGAAGCATAAAATGTTTTATCATGTTACACATTTCAGAATTTTATTTCAAGTCTGTCCTTATAAAGAGCTGTGTTCTACAAGACATTGCCTATGAAAAAGAGGTACAAATTGTGCATGTTTTAAAAAACTCTACAGAAAAAATCCTGTAAACTAAATGAAAGTCCAAGAAAGAATCAAAGTATAGAATCTCTATGTATTTAGAATACAGTGGTTCAATTCAGAGATCAAGAATGCTTAATTTTTTGCTCTCACAGACTACGAGATCCTATCCTGTAGATATTAGCTTCACTTAGTGTTATTAAGGATTTTAAACTTGAGGCAGTATTTTGGGAGTACGTTTTATTCTTCATGAACAGCAACCACCAAACCCACACTGACTAGGAAAGCAAGCAGGCTGCTGTAACTTGAAAGTCACTGAATTTTGTAACTTAGCAAACTTTACTCACTCCTAAATATCTCTATATGTTGGCAATGCTGATGTAATCAAGTTCGTTATTGTTCAAAAGCCAGGCCACAAATCTATTAGCATTCCAACAAGAAAAAAAATCCAGATCTTAAGACAGAGTGGTAACCATTTTACATAGCACTGAATACACTGTGAATATTCAGAATGGCTTTCTTCTACTAACACTTTGAGTTTATATCTCCTCAGTTGCCTGTACCTAGTTTTGTTTTAGATATTTTAGTTTCGAGTTTTAGTTTTGTTTTAGATGCAAAACTGCCTCTGGTGGCAAGGAAGAAGCTAGAGATGATGCTGATATTGTCAGATCACAGTATGTCACTATCAGCACATTTAATCCCAAGAAGTTTGGTTAAATCAAATTTGCAAATAAGTACCCATTGTTAACTACAGGTGGCCATGGAACTCTTTATTTGTAGCAGATAGATTAGTTGTAAGTTTATAAAATTGTTCTACAGGTGCTGTATGTATTATGCTCAAAACTAAAGAATGAAACTAGCCAAGAGTCAAATAGATGAAACAAAATAACCATAGTAGAAATCATTAGAGTTAATGATGATTAGATTGTTAGTGTGTTCAGATGGAATCCTATATTAATGCAAAGTAAGGATATCAAATAACAATCTCAAACAAAAAAAGTAATTCCAGGAAAGTCCATTTTTAAAGTATTTGCTTTCATAAAGTGAGCTAGGGGGTTGGAGCTTGATGATCCTTAAGGTCCCTTCCAACCCAAGCCATTCTTCTATTCTAACTAGCACACAATAGAATTTTATCAGACTTTGACTCTGTATGTCATAGAAGACTGAAGTTCTTAAAGCATTTTAAAAGATAGTTCAAGAATATCCAGAAGTAAAATTTTGATGTCCATATGCTTTGCAGTAGGGGGTGCTGGCTCATAACGGTCCTGCTGAGACTCTGACTTCAGAAAGCAACGCTGCCATTTATGGAACAAAGAGAAAATTGTGCTATCTCAAGAAAAACACTATACATCTAAAACAATCTTATGACCCACTGCTTGTAATAGCAGTCAACTGGAAAAGTTGTTTATTTTGCTTCATGCTCACATTAACTAATGTGGGAATAAAGACATTTGGTCTAACTTTCAAAGCACTACAGCTGTGATACTATTCCTGCAACATACTTCAACACAGGGTGCTAGTTATTATTTTTAACTGCTAAAACAAACACTACAACAGTGAAAAAAAGAATGCATCAGAACATTCAGTAGGAAAGTAATTAGATCATTACTAGCTATTTACAAATATAAAAAGCTAATTCAACCTATGACAAACTCCTGGCACAATTCTAAGCAAATGTATTTCTTAGTTCTTTTATTCATTTAGAGAATACAGATGCCTCAGCACTTGGAAAAACTTAAACATCTAACACTTCACAACAACTGTTTGCAGACACTTTGCATACACATGTAGCTTTGCTGAGAAAGTATAGAACAGGCTGCACAGGCTTACTAATATGTGTATGCAAACTCATCTCAATTAAATTAACTCTGTGACACTGAATACTTTAGTTTGAGCTTTCTGCAGCGTTATGTTTTCCTATTCCTGCTCCAAAGTGACTTCAAATATGATTTCAATGAAAGAAAAGATCAAGAGGTTACTGAGTTTGAAAGCCAGTGGCTGCACAGTTCTACCTGCAATACTCTTCCTGGAGCACCTCCCCTATGAAGACAGGCTGAGGGAGCTGGGCTTGTTCACCCTGGAGAAAAGAAGGCTGTGGGGTGGCCTCAGTGCAGCCTTCCAGTACTTAAAGGGAGCCTACAAACAGAAGGGGAGTCAACTCTTTACAAGGGTAGATAACAGCAGGACAAGGGGAAATGGTTTTAAGTTGAGGGAGGGGAGGTTTATGTTGGATGTCAGGGGGAAGTTCTTTACTATGAGAGTGGTGAGGTGCTGGAACAGGCTGCCCAGAGAGGTTGTGGATGCCCCATCCCTGGAGGTGTTCAAGGCCAGCTTGGATGGAGCCCTGGGCAGCCTGGTCTGGTATTGAATGGGGAGGTTGTTGGCCCTGCATGTGGCAGGGGGTTGGAGATTCATGATCCTTGAGGTCCCTTCCAACCCGGGCCATTCTGTCATTCTGTGAAATATTATGAATTAAAAATTACATAAAATATGTTATATAATGCATTAATTATAATTTCACAGTTCTTAAGCAGTCTCTTTCCTTCCAGATAGCCCTAAGGGGTTATTTTGTTTACTTTCATTGGTAGAACTTCATCTCTAATTGTTTAAGTAAAAGAACTTTCTTAAAAATTAAGATGATTACTCTCTTTCATTCTCCTAAAAACATCGGATTTCTTCTAGAACATTCCACAGAAGAAAAAGTTATTTAAAATGATGACCTAAAGCCTCTGTCTTTCTGAACGAAGTTTAACTAAATTCAATTTAGACTTACATGGAGTTTCCTTTATTGTAGTTATTTCATTAATAAGAAGAGAAAGAAAATTGAATATAATTTCTATTCTAAATATCCATGAAATTTACTTCCAGTAAAAAAAAAAAAAAAAAAAAATCCTTAAAAGCAGTTTAGAATGTAAACTTCATTTTACAATAAGTTTTCAGATCTAAATGAAAATAATCAATTATAAATGTATAAAGGAAAAAGAAAGATTTCACTGTGTCAGATTTAATTTTTTCCTACAGTTTAACTGAAACTCCATTTTCTCAAACTGAAAACTCAGGGTTTAAGTGTCTTTGGTAAATCTGAAGGGAGAGACACCAATTATGAAAGCTAACGAAATGTATAATCTCTCTCTGTAATCTACAGTAGAAATAGAGCACAGCTAATATGCAGCTTAACATCTGAATTGGGTCACTATTAATTTAAACTAACTTCTTAAACTCAATTTTTCTAATTTCTAATGTAAGAAAAAATAATTTCATCTCAACTTCTTGGTAAATTTCTTGCAGTTCTTTCAAAAATAAGCAATGTAGTAATATCAATTGTCACTAGCACCTATATAGATTTTTCTGTCTTACTAATCATTTCTTTCACGTTGCTACAATTCTCTGTGCGGCAGCAAAGTGCGCATGGGAACAAAGCTGGCTGGCAAAACAATTATTTACTTTATAACCTGGATTGTTTACTTTTTAACCTGGATC